TGGACCTGCACCATGTCCATCAGTGACAATGATTACAGGAATATCTTTTGGCGCATCTTATCCAATCCAAGACTCCTTAGGTGTGGGACATGTCAGCCCCCAGTAAATGTGTGTGTCTGTGCGTGTCTGTGTGTGTGTGTTTCTGCCTGTGTCACTTTAATTATTACTGCCATCTCAAATCAGGCTGCCGTCTCGACAGGATGACTTGAGAAGAAAAGTCATTTCCTCTTTCTTTTTAAGCTGCTATAGTCTTTTGGCAGGACCACCCAATGACAAAAAGACGTTTGAATGTGTGGCAGACAGGTCCGATACACGCCCATGTGTCGCACAGCAAAACAAACACTCTGCCAACAGCCCCAGATATGGTTCAATTGAATTTCTCACAAGGGAATAAGACTCACTTATCTTTAATCTTACTCTTGGAGAAATCCCTCTGTTGTGCTGCGCATTGTTCTCTTATCATGATATATGGTTTGACAGTCTGTATTTATGTTTTTTTCACAAGATTGCTTTTTAAACTCTGTAAGTTATACATAAATAAGTTTAAAAAAAGAAAGAAGAATTTGTTTGTGATCCATGAGCGAGATTTACTTTATTTTTTATTCATAGAGAAGGATAAGAATCTTGTGAGAGTAAATTGTTGTGAACAGATCAGACCACAACATGCTCTCTTCATCTTTACAATATGAATAAGATAAGATAAGCATGTATGGTTGCATGTGACTCATTATTTGAGGCTGATGTGACAGAGGAAAAAAAAAGAATCCATGCAAATTACATGTGAAAACTAGTGATGGAGCCACGCTTTTTTGAGAAGGAGGAACTAGTTTTTTTAATAGATCGTTTTATATATAGTTATAATCTTGCTTGTAGTTTGAAAGTGACGTACCACAACTTTAAATACTTTACTTCACTATTATTCTTCGATGCACATCTATGTGAAGCCTCTGCAGTCTCCAGGTCAAAGCTCTACAATCTCTTCACATTCACAGTTACACACTTGTATTTCAAATGCTTTTAAATCTTCAACCATGTCTGTACACGCTCAGCGGCAGAGTGTGACATTTTCCCAAAGAACATGAGGATAAGCGTTTAGACCTTTTGTAGAGAACTCCCCTCTCATCCGCTTTTATTCCATTCTTTATCTTTATTTATTCTCACAGCACAGTGTTGTGGATTTCTGCACCTGCTTTTTGATGCTGAAACATGCTATCTATGGCTGTGTAGAGAAAGGGAAAATGGAAAGGTGCATTGTGTATTTGAATGAATGATGGGTTTACCGGCGCACAGATGATGACCTCATCAAGCTGCGTCTTGAAGCGTACAAACAAGCCATGGATCTTAAGCGCGTATGGCTGCAGTAATAAACTTACTTCTTATTTTGCACAGACATTTGGCCTCTCTCTTCCAAGACAACAGAGCTACAACGCTTTAAATAGGACTCGAGAGGAGATGGTCACAGCGGTGAAATAAGTACAGGTGTAAAACATGCATTTGGCCAAAAACTAGCTATTTATTTACTGATCAAGTTCTTAATATGAAAGGCCAATACCCCCCACGCTCAAGCGCGATCCCCACACAATAATCAAAATGAACATTCACTAACAACAGTGGTCCCTGTGATCAAAGTTCTCCATGCTCTCAATATTTGAAAACAAAAAAAGAGTCAGTGTCAGCGGTGAAGACGGTTCTACTCACGGCCCCCGCGCACGCACCACAGTCCACCAAAACTTTTCTCGGAGCCCAGCAGCGACCGTGGAGTATTAATCCACAGTTTCGTTAAATCCACAGTGGTAATCGAACACGAAATAACTCCAAAAGTGGTTATAATCCGCGGAAAACGGGTCCGCCTGGTTATTTATTTTATTTTATTTTTTTATAAAACTTTATTGAACATTTACAAGCATTAAGGCACAACACAGTTCATATCGTCTCAAGGCATATTCGGTTGAGTAGAAAATAATAATTCATAAAGCAGTGCAAAATGAAGGCAAGTTGAAGAAAAAAAAACATAAATAGAAGTAACAACCAAAAATAGATAATAGATAATAAATAATAGATAAAATAGATAGTCCTCCAGGTAAAGCTGCTCCAAGTCCGCATACTAATTGACAACAAATGTAAATGACACAGAACAGACCAGATTCACTTGATGGTTGTAAAATAAAACATTTCACCCTCCGGGGGGAACATATGGACCAATGTGGGCGTCACACTGTTAATTCCACAACAGCAGATATTTGATGTTACCTAAATTAGTTTTGAGGAATAATAACCCACATATCAACATTGGTATCGGTTGATATCGGAATCAAAAATTGAGAGTTGGACAATATCGGCATATTGGATATTGGCAAAAAAGCCAATATCGAACATCCCTAGTTTAGACGATGCCATAAACCAGGCCCTCCTCTTCATCCTGCAGCATCTGGACTCCCAAGGAAGCTACGCCAGGGTCCTGTTTGTGGACTTCAGTTCTGCCTTCAACAGCATCCTGCCATCCCTGCTCCAGGACAAGCTCTCCCAGCTCAACATGCCCAACTCCCCCGGCAGATGGACCACTGACTTCCTGACGGACAGGAAACAAGCGTTTGCGTCTGGGGAAGAATGTCTCGAACACTCGGACTACAAATACAGGTGCTCTGCAGGGCTGTGTTATTTCTCCCCTGCTGTTCACCCCATACACCAATCACTGCCCCTCCAGCCATGACTCTGTGAAGCTCATTGGTCTCGTCTCTGACAGCAATGAGTCTGCCTAAAGCAGGGAGGTGGAGCGGCTGGTGTCCTGGTTATGTAGAAACAACCTGGAATTGAACGCCCAGAAAACAGTGGAGATGATTGTGGACTTCAGGAAGTTGTTTGTCCCAGCCGAGCCAAGATGGCTTATGCTTACGCCAAATATACATGTGTGGCTCTCATGCACGTGCACAGAGGGGCATGGTCGCGTTTTGACCAATCAGAGGTTGGTGATCAAATCAGAGCTAGAGCTGGAGGCAACGAGCAGAGTTTGTTGCACTAAGGTTTGGATTTAGAGAAAACCAAAGTATTTAACAAGATTCTATTGGACGTTTTTCTGGGTAGCCAACATGATATTTTTTCTGTAGTACCACGGGTGACTCCCGGCCCTATGGGTGGTGCCCATGGTCCCAACAGAAAGCGTATTCTAAGATAGAGCCCTGTGATTCACTACTTGACTTGATATTATGTTCCAGCAACTATGTGATTTGAATTCAAAATCAGTATATAATACCTATTTCATTTTTGTATTCTTTCTGTGTGACATGAAGTCATGTTGTTTCAGCCCAATCCTTTTTGGTTGTAATACAGTGAGTGAATAACAGAAATATATATTGTTAATCAAAGGGACAATCAACCAAAATAAAATCCAATCTAAAGTTGTGACCGAGGCCAAATTTACATGCATCTGAAAACTCAGATTCAGATTCAGATTCATTTATTTGCCATTTGCAGTAAAACCACATTGGAAAAACTGTGCAAGACTACCCCAGTGTGCACCAGACGACACACACCAGAGCTCTTGCCACGGCGCCATCTTTACGGCGCCATGCGACTATTATTCAGAATCAGAATAATTTGATATTGCCATGTAAGTAACAGTAAGTCAAATACTAGGAAATTGCTTTGACTCTCTAGAATAAGGCGTGATAAAGATCGACATAAATCTCTAAAATATAAAAATGTAAATGATTACAATTATTACTAAATACAAGTGCTCTCAGGACACACAAATAATCAAACAAACTGTGGAAATCGTTGTTATTACATAGTCACTGTCATTGTTACATAGTCATTGTGAAAGTTAAATACCCCAGCTTTAATATCATTCTTCAGCTGTGAGGCAGGACTACCAGGTGGCTGATCATCTACTATGCACTATGTATACTATGTTCTTTCGTGCCATCCATGAAATACTCTACCTATATCTGGCTCAGGAGGAAAAGCTCAGTGAGAAATCAAAATGCAACCATATGCACTGACCAGGTGTGTTGCTATGGTGAGGGACATGATTGGCCAGCCCAGAGATTACAGTGTTTGCTTCCCAAAAAGGTCTGCTGCAGCAACATCAGATGCGCACACACACACACACACACATGCAGGAATAAGCTGGCTGATTGCACTAGTTTTACAGCTAAAGCCATCTGAATGGAAATGTGAAAAGGAAGTGCATTACCAAACTCATAAACACCAGGAGCAGCTGTGAATGAGTGCAGTGACGAGCTGCACAAGTTACACAGTCGGAGGGCGATTGAGGTGCGACGTGTGCCATCAGCCTGAGAGAAATCCTTTTCGCTTTGTGAACTATACCATTGGACTGGAGCAAAATAACAATAAAAGGAACAAATTATATACTCAAAAGAGAGTTTTATTTAAAATGCGCATTCAGATATATCTGTTTTGGGGTCACAGCCTCTCCATTTCTGCCTTTATGTTTCTACTCTCTCCAATGTTTCACTGATGGGTGTTTGAGTGACAGAGGTGTACGTCCAGAGTAGGGCTGAAACAACTAATCGATTAATCGACGACTAATCGATTATTGAAATAGTCGACAACTATTTTAGTAATCGATTAATCGTTTTCTGGTTCACACGGACTCAAACAGAGCAAAAATGACATGAAAATTTAGTATTTTTGATTAAAACCGACTTTGTTTTTATAATTTCATGAATATCTGTCTGTCTCATCCAATCAGATAGCAGAATTAGCACAAAGAGCCTGTTACAAACATTTACTTTAAGTTTACGCCATCAATACGTCCTCGAGTGTTGCCACTTTAGCTTTTTGTGATGAAAAAATATTTTTTTTCTACACAATTCACAGCCAAGCGATTACTCGATTAATCGTAAAAATAATCGATAGATTAATCGATTTACAAAATAATCGTTAGTTGCAGCTCTAGTCCAGATGAAGGTCATTCAAAACTCTTCCATGAAACACAAATGTATCTACTTTGTATTTGACATATTTTTCTTGCTTCACAGAGACTGGTGGAGGCAGCAGAAGAGGCCCACCTTCAACACGAGGAAGATCCAGACCTACAGGTAAGAAAAAAAACAAAAATGTAATGAGTCTATATCTATTAAGTTGGCTTCACAGCTTAAGTTGAAGTACAGAAATAAATTTACTTTTGAACAATATTCTAATTTTATGACTTTCGTCTGTACACTTCACACATTATCAGTAGCCAGACTACACAGACATTAGACAGAAACATAACATCATCAATAGTAAAACCAAAATGACATATCAGTAGTGATTTGTATGCATGTGTCATCCTAAAAACGTGGAGATGTATGAAGTGCTAAAACTATCTACCCACACCTCCTGCCTCTGGTCTCACTGCTTCAAATCCATTAGAGCAGCTTTAACTTTTGCTTCAGCTTAGTCGTGCCGATAGCAGGTTTGGAGTGCATGCACAAAATGACATTTTGTGGTTGTTTTCTCTGGATGCCACTTTCTCTTTACCTAAGGAGGAGGGGTCACAGTTTGAAGTAAAAATACTACTTTTGATTCAAAGCCGACAGGGAAGTCTAAAACGTCCTGAAACACAGAGGATGCGTTGTGTGTCTCTGCCTCTAGTGGGTTAAGCTCTATTTGCCCTGTCAGCTCGTAAAGGTCTTATAGTAAATGCCCTGTGGTTTGTGCTGTCATAAACCATTAAAAATTGATTACTGGATTTAACCCCTTGATGTTGACTCTTCACTTCAACTTGAAATGATCTGTATTTTGATACAGATATTGACACTTCCCTATTAGCTATGGGTGATATGTGGCCTTCATAAAGTCTATATGAATACCTTAATAGAAAAATACGCTAATAGCAGCCACATACTATATCTCAAATTATTTTGCCATGTTTGACCAAAGATTGGAAAAAATTGGAAATGAGGCATACATTTGAACAAACACATCTACTGTATTAATCAATCATTTAAATCAGTTATATAGAATATATTGATTAAATACATTGTATTACTTAAGTATTCAGTCACAATACAGTAAAAGAGTAGAAGGCATATGGCTGCCTGTTTTCCAGCACATGCAGTGACAATGGAGAGGTGATTATGATGCGTGTCTTCTCTTGGAGAGAGGCTTACATCTGGCCCCAGAACCTTGAAGGTTCTGAAGGTTCTGTTAAAGTAGAAGTTTTTCCCATATCAGAAAAATACTGGTGTTCTGTTAGACTATCCCGTCCTTATTCACCTCCCTCACCCACACCCTTCTTCTCGGATGGTTCTGTTTGTCCAGGGCCAGCTATAGAAAGTCCTTGTGGTTCCAACCCTCTTCTATTTCTGAGTGATACAGTAGAGGTGACCGCTCTCTGGGACCTTCTACAGAAAAGTTTCTGTCCCTTTCCCCAGATCGGTGCCTTGATACAGTCCTGTCTTGGAAGTCTGCAGACAGTTCCATGACTTGCTATTAGTTTGACATACACTGTCAGCTGTGGGACCTTATTTAGACAGGTGTGTCCCTTTCCAAAGTTCACTCAATAGAATTTATCATGGTTCAACACGACATCTCACAGATGAGCAGAGGAAACAGGATGCCCCTCATGTCTATTTGTCATTGCAAAGGAACTTAAAGAAATGCAGATTATAATGGTGTTCTGTGTACAGATTGATAATTGTACATGTAATGCTGGATTGAAGCTTTCATGTAAGAGTTAAAGGGAATGACGATGTGTTCTGAACCCACTTTATCTCTAGGCCAACATTATATTATACCCACCAACTACTAATAGGAACATTTGGTGCTCCGAATCAGGACCAACATGTTTTCATGAAAGTATACTGAATGTCTTATTGTTAGAGGTTGTGGTTCCCAGGCGACACAAATAATCCCACTCCACTGGCTCACACATAATATTATTAATAAGAGATTTCCTCAGCCTGTCTTTTTGAATTGGGTTGTGGATGTGCGGTTCAAATTTAAAGTGTTTTTTCAAGCAATACCAACTCTGAAATATTCAATCCATCACGTACTGTTTTTATTTTGACCAAATTTTGTTATGGCATCTGCAATTAGTTTTTTCTAATCCATTAGTGGACTGATTATTCTTTCGGTCAGTCCAATTGGTTGTTTGGATTCTGAAAGGTCAGTGATTATGGGATTTTTAAATATATTTGTGTGTAACACATTAGGATGATTCTGGAGGTTGAAATCATGATAATTCAATTACTAAAGTTGTTAACAACTATTGCTATAATAAATTAGTTGTGATAAATCCATTAACTTGTTACAGCCTTCATTTTGCATCTTAATGGAATTGGGTAAAACTGTGCAATATTGAAACTCTTTTCAAAGTACAATTAAATTAGTGTTTTGTCCATCGTGTGCATCATTATGTTTTGGCAAAATCTACCCAATATACTTTTTCTCGTTTTCATGGAGGCATTTATAATAAGGCCATTTAGAGAATAGATGGTAATTATGAACGAGCTGAGCTAAAAATATATCATCCACGCTTTAGGATGAAACCCCCTCCATCACTATTTGGGTTATTATAAATTGTTTGTGTGTGATTCCTCTATTCACATTGGATACTTATTTGGCTGGCAGCGTTTTGATAGGAATTTTCTTATCTATCTTTTCCAGAGCGCTTCTGCTTCCATGTGAAATTGGCACGGTAATCTTCTGCGATTTTCCTCCCTCGCTCTCTTAGCCTCTGTGTGCACATACTGTAAACAGCAGTGCATCTCCTCGACCAGTAGAATCGGTCCTTAGAGGTTTAAGACAAGCAGCCAATTAGCTTTCCTGATACTGAGTGAAGTGTTCAAATGGGAGCTGCGGTAAAGTGGCTGTTCATCGGTTCTGTTTGACCTCCTGGTGCGGTCATAAAGGAAACAAAGTTTATTTGTTTAGCTTAATTCATTAACAATGCAACTAACCAGTAAGAAAATTAAAGTCATACACACCATTAATTGAAATTAGGGGTGGGAACCTCAGGGTACCTCACGATACGATACGACACGTGATACAAAGCTCACGATAACAATTATCATCACGATATGATAATTATCGATATATTGGTCAGAAATATACTGCTATAGAAACTTATTCTCAACTCTGGATTCAAATACAGCACATATTGGCATAAATAAAAGAAAAATTTTAAGTGAAAAAATACACTTTATTTCATGATAAATGGAATGGAGATGCGCAATGTTGCCGTATTGATACTAGGGCTGTCAAACGATTAATTTGTTTAATCGAGTTAATTACAGCATGAAAATTAATTAATCGTAATTAATCGCATTTCAAACTATTGGCAAAATTATACCATATTTTTCTGTAAATTGTTGTTTGAATGGAAAGATAAATGACAGCTTAGTGAACATATGTACTGTATTTGTTTGTTATAACAATAAATCCATATAAAATGGAATTAACATTATTAACATTCTGTCTTTCTGTTTAGACTCAGACCAAAACCATTGTTTGTTACAGATGAGGGACATTTCAAAATCGTCTGAAATGCAGAATGTCATTAAATCTGTTTGATTTGCTCACAACATTGCTTTTTTTGGCACAACTAACATGAACTGGTAGTCGAAAGGAAAATTAGGTACCTCAGCTTTAATTTAGTGTTTGCACTTCGGGAGAAGACACGGAGGAGACTGAGGCTCCGCAGTCCAGCTTCAGCGCTGTACATATTGTGTGCATCGGTTACGCAAAGACACGTACAGTATGCACACTAGAGAATAGTTCTGTAATAGTTCTGTGCGTGGTCTTGGATATGATCCCATTACGCAGCGTCGTTCGCCGTGATCACAGCCGCTGGAAGTGGTGCTGCTGTCCAGAGCGCTGTCGCGCCCACAGCTCATCATGCAGAGTTTATACAGGAAACAACAAGTGCCCCGCGGTCACGCGTGTATTCTTTTAAAACTTGAATTCCCAGAGGGTCTACCTGCTCTGTCCCCATCTTACACACGCGCATGTGTCCGCGGCATTGTGAGTGTTATTATGGGACGCATGGGCATGCGTCAAATGTTTTTTAACGCGATTAATGAAAAAAATTAATTAACGTGCGTTAACGCGATAATTTTGACAGCCCTAATTGATACTATAAAAAAAAAAAAAATACTATCACAATACATCATGATATCGATATATCGTCACACTCCTAATTAAATTAATAGATAATCACAGTACATTAAATATTCCCTCTGTTGTATGCACTGTTTTCACCTGTGTTGGAAAATTCTCAAAGAACTTTCTCACATATTCTGGAAGACTGGTAAGCCAGAATATGGTTGCATACATCTGAAAAGCTTTATTATGTAATCCTCCCACTCAAATTCCAGAACCCAGGACACAAACAGTAAACAACAGCAACAACCAGTCGCTGCAGTTAACACTATTCCTGCCGAGTCAAGTCTAATGTGAGGATGAAAGAGCGAGCTGAGCATGGATTATCAACCTTCTACCTTGTTGTCAGGACTTTTCCAGAAAGCAATTTAAAACAACACAGAAATAAAAGTGAATTCCTTTTTCTACTTGCACATTGAGTGGGAGCTGGTGGGAGGCGCTGTGTCTGGGTAATGCACAGAGAAGTTAAAGATCAGCTTGTTAACACATGATCGGGAAATGCATTAGTGGCTCCGATCCTTGGCTCTTAATGCTGTGATGGTATAATTGACATACACCCACAGGGACTCGCACAGCTGCTTACACCTGTTTATCAATATTAGCCTACAGTCAAGCGCATCAAAGTGGATTTTTAATTACACCATGCAGGTGACTTTCCATCTCCAGAAAGTGATGTACTGTTACTTTTATGGATGCATGATTCATTTATTGAACATTGTTTAACCAGGAAAGTCCCACTGAGATTTCTGAATGTCTGTTTCAGGGGAATCGTGGCTCCAGAGAGAGGAGAGCTATTGTACGCGTTTTGTACCTGAACGAAACCTATGCAGACAATTTTCCTGTAGCAATTTGCCGAACAAAAATACTGGAATTACATTTAATTTTTGCAAACAAAAAAGGGACGGAAGATAAAATAATATATTTTGGGATATTTTAAAGATTTGTCAATGGAACAATCATTATTTTCATAATTTATACAAGCCAAAATTTGTATAAATTATGGGACTAAAGATTAGGATTAAGAGATCCTTTATTCGTCCCACAAAGGAGAAATTTCAGCGAACGGGCGCTGTTTGGTATTGTATAATCTAGTGTAGGAGCACAAGTGATGGGAGAGGATGCTGCACCAGTAGAGCTGAGGTAGAGGATGTAGGGAGCAGGATGTTCTAATAAGGCCAAAAAGGGAACAGCTCAAAGACACAATGGGGGCTCAGCTGCTGCAGGTGGAGATGCCTCTGACTCAGTTTGTTTGTGCATCTGTCCTTTTTTTATTCTCAGTGTTTTACATCTGTTAAATATGTTAAAGCTACATTTATTGAAGTTATACAATATAGTCAGTGGCATTATATACAAAACATGGGCATTAAGTGGATTTACATGACCGAATGACTTGTTTATTGGTAAGAAGGTGAGTTTTTGTGCACCCTCAGCAAATCCGTGTTTCGGACGTGGCTTGTAATACAGGAGACAAGATGAGAGAAACAATGTTTAGTCAGCACAGAACAGGCGCCTATTCAATCATATGCCCTGTAAGCTCTTGCCTTCCTGCCTCTGAAAACCCTGTCATAGATGTATAATAGTACATGTTTATGTTAAACAATGTAAATCCTGATATTGATTAAAAAAGATGCATACATTCAATAATAAAATAACATAATAACATTTTTGTGAAATAATACGTTTGCGTTTTGTCTCTGGTATTCATTGTATTTGTCAAGTTTGAAGTTATGAAGTCTTGTACTTATTGTGGTATTAAACTGGTTAAACCATTTGGCTCCTTGTAAATGGAACGTAAAAGCGCTCAAACCCCAAGCTCATTTAAGACTCACCTTCTTAACCTTACACAGTGCCCTTATCTCTTCATTTTTGTTTTGTGATTGGTTTTGTTTCACTGTCTTCGTACAGCGTTGCAGTCCTGTATGAAATTTGCTATATAAATTAAACGTCTTCTTCTCCTCCTTCTAATATAAATGTCTTAACGTGCCCTTAACATGGCTGCAGCCCAGTTGAGGTCTCTCCAAGTCTTCCTTTGTCAGTGTGCAGTCATAATCTATATTTATCATGCACTATCATTTATTAATAGTATCTCCAGTATGCGCTAGGCTAAAAATACATGGGCGACTTAGCACCACTAGCCCCATCTACCAGTTAGAGACTGCATGCACACAGCTCTGTCAACTCAGCATCTCTGAACCCTGACAGCCCCAGTGTCCTCGATGATCCAGGCATCATGTTTCTCAAGTCCACAGGTCTCTTACTCAGCATTTAGGCCGCAGTCCCATTTACTGTGACATCTTACTGTGTCGATAACAGCCACTGAAGAGATGGGAATGAACAAATGAAAAGAAGGATGTGTTTTTGTGTGTGATTTCAGTACGAATACTTCAACGCTGTGCTGATCAACGAAGTGAACGAAGACGGAAACAGCGTGGAACTAGGAGGAGAATTTGTCTTGCAGCCAAATGACCATTTCAATAATTTATCGGTTAACCTCAGTCTGAGTGTGGTGCAGGTGCCCACCAACATGTATAATAAAGGTAGAGTATTTTTCTTATTTACTAAAACATGCATATTCAGGGTGAGAAATGGGATGGATTTTAATGTCAGAATGATGAACTGGAAATAGCATTGTGTGCAAAATGATGCAGAACTGTTTTTTGCGGCGGAGGAAAATAGATTGGGGTTATTATTCACACTAAGAAGTTGTTAAGTTCGGAAATAATTTCTTCCTGCCGTTCAAAATTGTTTCTGCACCTGCCTTTACTGTGAGCATGGACCTTCTCAATGGACGCCCAATTACAGGTTCCGGGAAAAAATCACTTAACAGCAAATCTCACAGTATTTTCAAAGAAAGTTGTGTCATTTGAAATGTTCTAGGACTAAAAACGAGGGACGTGCCTCAGCATAGACTGTGCTTTTAATATTAGATTAAAGATTAAAGAATGTATTTTCCATTTGCTGCACAACCACATTGGAAAAACTGTGCAAGACTACCCCAGTGTGCACCAGATGGTACACAACTGTAGTTATGTATTATCAAAAGTGCGGTGTATGTGATTATCAACAGTGTGGTGTTTTCCTGTCAGCGGACCAGTAACCAGGCTCCCACCTCTAGAACACTGAAGGCACAATGAACGTCACCTAAGATGCTGAAATAAATGAAAGAGAAAGTAGGTTTAGTCAGACTGATGGAAGGTCTGAAACATATTAATTACAGCACAGATCAATGTGAGTGACACAGCAAAGCAGGAAGGAAGTACACGGCAATTGAATAAAAGTGTGTTGAGCACATTGCCTGTTAAAGCTGCTCAGGAAGAGGAATAATAATTTGTTTTCCATTCACAGTCAAATGAATAAAGTAACCGTCTGAGGGGGTAGGTGTGGTACAAGCTCCATGTGCTTTTCTGTTCTCTGTATTATTTCAATGCTTGGGCCAGAGGGCTGTATTAATCTGTGTGAGTCCTGCTAACTAAGTTTTCTCATTGCAACACATAGCTAATCATGAGGGGGTTCGGTCCCTTCTCTCTGCTTAGTAAGATTGTGAGGGCTGGCGCAAAGTAACTCATGTCACCAGTTACTATATTGTCATATATACATATAGTACGCTTTGGAGTACAAACACACAATGGCTGGACTTTGCAGAGCCTCTGTACTTTTGGGCTATGATGACCCAATTACTCAAATTAGTGGGGAACCATCTCTGCACACACAGGCAAAGATCTCTAAAATCTGCCCACATTCCTTTGGTAAATATAAAGGCAAGTAGATCTGGATGTTTGTTTTAATAGACTAAACTTCATAAAAGCTTTGGATCTATATCAAAATCTTATATTGAGAAAATACAGGTTTTTATAAATGTAATGCTGTAGTATGAACATTTAAATCAATTGTTGTGTGTATTATTATATTATCATTCTTAAATTACATTTATAATCCATAACATATTATTTTACCACTTAATTGGATCGAGTTAGAAAAACCTTATCAAGTTTTTAAACTTGATAAACATTGCCTGACACCTGCCACCTCAGCTGATAAGGAGTCCTTTCTGAATTGCAGCTGCTCATTGATAGACCCTGGAATAAGAAGCATAAGTATAAGAATAGAAAGTAAATCAGCCAGGAGCTTGAGGGAGTGAGAGAGTCTGAGGAAATTCTGTAAAACTTCTGAACAACACTTTGCTATGCTTTCATTATTCTGCTTTGAAATACATTTGCAAAAGGCTTCATGGCTATTATTGCAGCGGTATCTGTATTGTGAGCTGTGAATTTGAATGAGTCTTTCCACCAGGCTCCTCTCACAGGACAAATGCTGGCTGTTTATTCTTTCTCTACCATTTTTTGTTTTATTTACCGCCACTCACAGTTATTTTTGTAGTTCAAACATCTCCTTCTGGGGTCGAGTGCTGTGCCTTTATTATAACACAATTTAATACAAGGTTGTTCCTCTAGGTTGCTGTAGCCATTTGACGGAACAGAACTGATTCCATGCTTTTTCTGAAATGGCTCATTTTTGCTAACGGGTTACGGCTCACATCTGTTACATATTATAGAGTCATTGACAAACATCTAACTGCATTGAAACCTGTTTTCTGTTGTTTTTCATGGTTGTGCCCTTGGGATTTCACCCTCAAGTGTATGAGCCATAGGGCAGCTGTGGCTACCATCAGCTGTATATAGACAAATGGGTAAATGATTATGCGCAATATACAAAGAAACAACAGTGTTTGAAAGAATTGCCTAAGCCTTGCATTTTGTCTCTCCCATGAAAAATGTTTTCTGTGCGTTTTCTTATCTAAACCTCAGTCCTCTTCTGGCATAGACTTTGTACTTATAGTGTTCCATTACATTTTATCATGTCATTCCAATCCCCCCATTACAGCCGCAGTCGTGAACACTTTATAAATGATGTCAGGGGAGATGCATTGTGGGTCAGTCCATGATCACAGTGCTCCTAGGGATTAATCTCAGCGGGAGCGTGATTCTCTTTAAAATCCATCTTTCTAATGCTCCCCACTATCAAAACATAGCCAACAACACCATATTTTATCAAGCTTTATGACAGGAATATATCACAGCTTCGGTAAATCCACGCACACGTTTACAGACGCTCAATAACGCAATGTTTTTTTCCCAAGTTAGAGTGGTCAATGCTGGATGAGTTTGCAGACGCTTATGGATTTTGCTCTGTTCTGGGCTCTTCTGTCTAATCAGTAATTATTAGGCAGATCATTCGAACACATTTTCCTTTCTTGATCATTAATTCATGGCTGATCGTTACTTTGCTAAATTGAGACAAATTGACTTTTGTTTTTCAACTGTTTGATAATGATGGCTCTTTTCATAAGTTATAATCGTATTGATTGGTCCATGACTGAATTATCCTGTATTGTCCAGGAGCTCTTTTTCTGTTTTCACCTACCTTCTTGTCTCCTCAGTGTTTTTCATTTCTACAATTGAAATTTAAAACTTAAAAATTACAAAGATTTTTTTTTTCTTTAAACTATCGTCTGCTTACTTCAGGGAAATGGGAATACACTATTTCAGATCAACATAGTGAAGCTGTAATGCATGAAGTAGAATCCATACTTTTTCACATCTCTTCCATTTGCTGTCCTCCTTAGTAATCATGGCTTTGGGTTGAGGGTACAAATAGTTCGCTGGATTGTGACTAATTACAAATTAATAAAGGACCTTTAAACATGACCTATATACTCAGTCTTATAGAGATATTCTTGACTTTAGTTGCACTGTGGTGGAATTGCCTGCGTTCTCTGCCCCCTCTGTCTGAGAACATGCATGTCTTTATGTAAATTTAGCCTGAGTGGTTGTCTGTGCATGTTGTAAACACCTGCTCTTCAAATTTACCATTTGAGTGTACTCCTATGGCCTAGAGCAGGCATGTCCAAACTTGGGCCTTCAAGCCAAATGCAGCCCTGTGTAATTCTATGTAGCCCTCTGCCTGGCTAACCCAATATTATGAACACAATTGTGTCATTCAGCCAACTTCAGCTCAGTCAATATAGGCATGGTATACCTCTGTGTAAAGCTCAGAACCTCTGGAATACAGCCATTGACTTTTTTTTATTGTCTGTTAATAGTGCTATGGAAGCTTGGACTTTTCTAGTTCAGCCTATAGCCAATAAAAAAGCTCAGAACAGCCTGAATCCAGTCAAGACAGTTTTAAAATCTGAGTTGTCGGCCCTTGAACAAGCCTGGTTAAATAATGTGGCCCTTTTACTGAAGAGTTTGGACACCTCTGGCGTAGAGGTTGGGCAACCCCTTCCCTTTAATGGTAGTAGTCAAAATAGAATTCAATGCAATTATAACAGCTAAACTGTTTTTTTTGGCAATTTTAAAGTATTAAAGATCTTTAGAGATCTTACGAGATCTTCAAAGATAAGTTTTGCGAGTTTAACCGGGTGCTACGTAGTACGAGAGAAAGGTATTTTTCTGAAATGATTGAAGGCGTCAGTAACAATCTGCGTGTTCTGTTTTCAACAGTTGATAGATTAACGAACCCCCCTGTTCAGCTGCCATTAGAGCTTACTTCCAAACGTAAATGTAATGAGTTTGCTAATTTTTTCAATGACAAGGTTCAAGGCATCAAAAACGCTATTGTCTCCAATCCACAGATAACCATCCAACAACCAGAAAGGCTCTTTGAGCTAACTTACTTTGCACCTGTAAATGTTCAAACTGTCCAAGAGATAATCACAAGTCTGAGCTCCTCCACTTGCAGCCTGGATGTACTACCCACTAGATTTCTAAAGTCTGTTCTGAGCAGTCTGTTACCTTCACTCACACAGATAGTAAACATGTCCCTTAATTCTGGAATATTCCCAAAGGCCCTGAAAACTGAAGTCATCAGGCCCCTGCTAAAAAAGAGCAGCCTGGATGCTACGGTACTTAACAACTATCGTCCCATCTCAAATCTGCCATTTATGGGGAAAGTCCTTGAAAAAGTTGTCTACCAACAGCTAAATAGATTTCTTATAATCAACAATTCCTTTGATATGTTTCAGTCCGGCTTTAGACCCCACCGCAGCACTGAGACTGCTCTCGTCAAGGTTACAAACGAGATCCGGCTGAACACTGACGCAGGCCAAGTCTCAATCCTAATCCTGTTAGATCTGAGTGCTGCCTTTGACACCGTCGACCACGACTTACAGAGACTAGAGGACTGGGTTGGCGTCGCTGGCATCGCTGGCATCGCTCTAAGTTGGTTTAGGTCTTACCCTGAGGACAGGAAGTACTTTGTGGAGATTGGAAACTGTGTCTCAAAAGATATGGCCCTGACCTGTGGAGTACCACAGGGGTCGATCCTGGGACCTCTTCTGTTCAATCTCTACATGCTGCCTCACTGACTGCAGGAGAACATGGACCAGTGGACTCACTCCTTCACTGTATCCAGTATGACCATATTAGTCCGGTCCTCAGGTCTCTGCACTGGCTTCCTGTGGCTCAGAGAATAGACTTTAAAACTGCTCTGCTTGTGTACAAGTCTCTCCATGGCCTCGCACCAAAATATATTAGTGATATGTTAGTCCCATATGAACCATCCATATGAACCAGCCCGGACTCTGAGGAGCACAGGGACTGGACTCCTGTTAGTGCCCAGAGTCAGAACTAAACATGGGGAGGCTGCTTTTCAGATTCATGCTGCTAAAATCTGGAACAATATTCCTGAAGATGTGAGACAGGCCTCCTCTCTGACAGGTTAAAAACAGTGCTGTTTAGCTATGCATACAACTGAGGGATTTTATATCTTTATCTTTCTTTTTAATGTTCTGTGATTTGAGTTGCCTGGATGAATTGTGCTATACAAATAAACTTGCCTTGCCTTGCCTTGCCTAGATAAAATAGACCTTACAAGCTGAGCCTGTTTATCTTTCATATACTGAGTCTCTAAATGTACCATACTATTTTGAACATTGGTAAGTCAGTTTGTTTTTATTTTGTTCTGTATTCCCCTCGCAAAGCATTGCATATTATTATTTTTATAATTTTAAGTTTTCTCTTACTAAATATGTTATCAACAGGTCTTAAAATTGGTGGCATAATGTCCTCTTATCCTGCACAGGATCTAGGATGGTATGAAAAATCTGGCCCTCAGGAAAAGGACATTGAATAGTGTATAGTATAACCCACATATTGTTGTGGAAATTGATGTGGATCAAACCCTACCTCCGCTCCACAGATATGACCCGGCCTGTTTACTCTGCACAGAGGCTTATTGTACATGAGCTTGCAGAAGTCTAATTCAATCATGGCTTATTGGCACCACTGTTGACAGCACAACAAAAGGCAGGATGGGAGATGAGGGAAGATCGCTTATCTGCTTTTCATTCACTCTCTGTTAGGTGTCTGGGGTTATATTCTGCCTGCGTTTTACTTAATGGATATTAACTGTCAAGACTTGAATAACCAATAGGCCATTATATGGTTGTGATTGAAGATCAAAATGTTCAAGAAAAAAAAAAAAACAGTGATTTGGGAGAAAAATAATCAACACGGTAAGAGAAGAAATGTGTGGAGTAAGCACTTTTAACCATTATTCATTTTCTGAAATTCAAGCCTATACACAACCAGTTTTACATACCATATGGGGCTAAAAACTGTATCAAAGTATCCGTAGGATCCATTGAGACCTTTAATTTATCCAATCCAATAGCGTGCGCTGTGATGCGGTCGCTGTATCGGACCGTTGTAGTAAATAGGGAGCTGAGCTGAAAGGCAAAGCTCTTGATTTACCGGTCAATCTTCGTTCCCTACCTCACCTATGGTCATGAGCTTTGGGTTAATCGCAAAGAGGTTCTCCCTTAGAGATAGGGTGAGAATCTCAGTCACACAGAAGGAGCTCAAAGTAGAACCGCTGCTTCTCCGCGTCGAGATGAACCAGTTGAGGTGGCTTGGGCATATATATATATATAAATACACATACACTGTACACACACATAGGCATCTGTGCATATACAGTATGTATACATATTACCATGGACTGTAAATACTAACGGATGTGGTCATGCCTATCTCTTTCAAAATGGCCATGGGGCAGGAAAATGTGAAAAAACGCATTTGCACTTCCGGCTAAACTAGGCTGGTCAACAAAAAAAATCTCCCCTCAGGATTCACACGCATCTGGAACATTGCTTTGAGCCAAGAGCCAGCTTTTGGACCATCCTGTAAAGCCTTTTTGAGAGAAAAGAAGACGGCATACAAAAGCATTGGGTACACCCCCACTGGCCAGGAGGGAGATTGCAGGCATGTCAGCGCTCATGGATGTTTTTGAGCCAGGATCTGCCCCCACTGCTACAAACATAACGATAAAACAAAATAATATTAAAAAAGAACCATACAACTCACGCAGTGTTAAAAGCACGAGTTGTGTATGTAATTTATACTTATACAATACAATGCTATTTCCCTTTTTGCATTTTAGATTCTGCTATTGTCAACGGCGTGTACTGGTCGGAAGCCCTAAATAAAGTCTTTGTGGATAACTTTGAGAAGGACCCGTCCCTCATCTGGCAGTACTTCGGCAGCGCAAAGGGCTTTTTCCGACAATACCCAGGTAAGTGTGCTTTAGTTTAGCTACTGATCATTTCTGAAGTGTCCAGTGGTGTGTGGGAGACACATCACTGGACACCTCAGAAATGTCAGGCTGATTGTCGCCTCTCTTCTTATCTCTACTTATTTGAAACAAATAAACAAAAAAAGGGTGACAGAGATTGATGGTCACCTCTTTTACCTCAAATCATTAGAATTTGCACACAGAAGAAGAAAATGGTTAGTTCACAAAGGTGAAATGTCTTGTATACAATAATGTGTGGTCTTCACTATTGCTGCCAGGCTGATTCTTTATAAGTTTAAAATGTACAATTGTTCTTTCTAACCTTCCCATAGGCATAAAATGGAAACCAGATGAACATGGTGTGATTGCTTTTGACTGTCGAAACCGGAAGTGGTACATCCAGGCTGCGACCTCTCCTAAAGACGTGGTGATCTTGGTAGATGTGAGCGGAAGCATGAAGGGGCTTCGGCTTACAATCGCCAAACAGACAGTTTCCTCCATCCTGGACACTTTAGGGGACGATGACTTCTTTAACATCATAGCTGTAAGTATCATTTACTGTATTTTACGTTATACAGTCCGCTTACAAAGAAGAATGATGAATCCAGCTCTTCTTTTGTTTGATCCATCCCATTTTCTTGCACTTTATCCAGGGAGCACACAGCTCATTCCATTACTCGCTTTCCTTGGGGGCCTCCTCCTAGTGGAACATTCCCAAAAAACCTCTCCAGAGAGGTGTCCAAGAGGCATCTTGTACCAGATCTGAGCATATAGGAGTAGCGGCTCTACACTGAGTTCCTCCATGTGTTTAATCTCATGGCCAATTCAATTTATATTTTTTTACTTCCATAAATTATAGTGGCTTTGTGTTTCCTGTGGCCATTGTCCGTAAATGTCCATGAATGCCCTGTATCATAACGGATGCTTCCTCTTAGCTCTAGTCAGAACAACATGCTTTTACTGAGAAGAAGATGGGCTGTAAACCTGATTAAATTAAATGGAATCATTGACTATTTGAAATGACATGTTTGAGATATTGCTGGGTGTGTAAGCTTTTGCTTTTATTTGCTGTGGTCAATATTTAAACACTGTGGAGCAAAAATCTGGTGAGTTGGTGACAGAGGTGGGTGGCAGGTTGTTTTGACAGAACTGTGAAGCATTTCAAGGATGCATATTCAGTTGGTTATAATCAGAGTATGTCTAAAAGGTGTGTAAACCTCTGCAAATTTAGAGCTACGTGCAAATGAAGATGATAGGAAAAGCTGGGTGAAAACGGCTTCCTCCTCTGTCACAGTCACAACCAATTAGCGCCAAGCTGAATGAAGATTTGAATTGCAAAACAGACAGTTGTGATTGGATCCTGCCTGGGGCGCCCAAAGCATTGTTATCATCTTTGCCTGATGAAAGTCCCATTTGGCTGTGTGTGGGACCCTGCAAGAATGTGTTTGTGTTTGCACATCAGGCCACCAACCTCTGCTCTTTCCTCCACAACAAATAAAGTATTATCATATCCTTATCATTGTGTGAGATGTAACAGTTGGATAATCAGATTGAAATGTTCAGCCAAAAAAGAGGTTAAGGGATAAGTTAAAGTTTTTACTCCCGTTTTTACTCCCGCCTAATTTATCCCACCTATTTTCAAGGATAACAAATACAATGACAAAAACAACATATAATATGCCAGACGCTGCTGCCTTTGAAGGGCTGTTTTTTATCACAGTGAAACACACACACTTCTTGGGGCCCTCAAGTTCTTGCAATCTTTTTGTAAAATGTTCAAACAGTAAATATGAAGGTAGGATGATGGTGATTGCCGTTGCTGTCCATTTTAATATTGTTATTTCTTGTCTCTGCTTTTATTTGCAGTATAATGAGGAGCTGCATTATGTGGAGCCCTGTTTGAATGGCACTCTGGTACAGGCTGATGTCACGAACAAAGACGTGAGTTGGAAAATAACCTTTATTTGCTCATTTTCATGCCAGTATTATTGCATATTATATTATGAAAGCAGGGGTACCTAACTTAGAAAAACAAAATAAAAACAAATGCATTTTGTGTGTCCCAATTACATAGTTAGTTCTGTTGTGGCTTGAATGTTAGTTTTTTCAACATTTTGTAACCTATTATTTCAGCTTCATTCCTGCTAAATTAAGCTAAAATATTGAGCGTAAAAGTAGTGAAAGCACTGAGTTCAAGCCAGAACACAGCACCGGCTTGCGTGGCGTACTTGTTATGCCGGACACTTCTGCAGACCAGTGTGCACCTCTCCGGGTTTGTTTTTAGTGAGTCGCTGTTTGTTCCTAAATAAGTGTAAACTAATGCATATGGATTAGAGTGCTGTAGTTAAATGCAGTGTGACTCAGAGGCGCAGTCTGCTCTCCCCGATAAGAGAGGCTAAAGTCTTTTACTGGAGCTGGGGGCAGCACTGACTGTCACACTCAAGTCTTAAAGAAACCGAAAAAGTGCATCGCAAACTGGGTCATAAACACCTGTAGTAAAAGCATCACAGGATTATAGATTACTTGGGAGAATTAAAATTAAATGCCATGCAAAATCTAAAAAGTTTGCATTAGTCCAAAGCAAATGAAAAATTGTTTATGTTTATTCATTTGCAAGGACCATACCACAGCAAAGATGGGCATTGAAATATATGATTTTAAGATTGGGAGAGAAAAGTAGCAGCCGAGGCAAGGATGGATTGGTTAAGAATTGGTACCCATACGAGAAGTGTGAATAAAAAAGAGTTCTGAAGATAAGTAGGATGTGAGATCTTTCTGACAAGAGCACTAAACCGGTCAAGACGCCATGCTGCCGGTGTCGCTCAGAAAGAGAGAAAAGATTATGTCGTTTGAATGCGCATGACTAAATAGTAAAGGAGTCATTTGAGTAATGGAGTAAGGTGGTGTAGAAAGAGACAGAATTAAGCTGAACGTTTTGTTTGTATCGCACATCTCCTACAGGATTGCAACTCAAGGCGCTAACAAAGCCAAATTACAGAAGGACAATGAAAGAATAAAGACACAAGATAAGCCTTTAGTTTCAGGGTCGGAGCACATTTAGGTCCAGTTTAGACGGAGGCGCTGTGCAAAGCTCCGTCTGAGACTAGGCTCCTGCGCAGAGCTTACAGTAGATGGAGCATGAAAACAAGGTAATTCTAGTGCCCGGGTAGTAGTGGGTATTGACACTTTACAACACGACGCACTTAACCCCCAGACCCCTCAGCAGTATACTCACTGACTCAACAACAGTTTTGAAAAAGGAAACTGAAACTAGAGCTTTGCGAGGTTTTGTTTGGACGAATAAACGATTAGAATTCTCCTTTGTGTAGCGCTCGAAGCACACTTAGCTAGTGAGTTTACCCGCCACCATTGTTGTTTACATTTGTTCTCGGCTACTGCGCATGTCTAAATGTGCGTGCGGGGAAGTGGGGTCATAGCAGGCAGAGAGTTCACAACTTTTTCTTCACACAGCTATGAAACCGCTCCCCACCGAGTATCATATCTGTTTTGTACCACTCTGGAGGCTGGTTCTCAACGATTACGTTTTCAACCCCTGGAACAGTCTCCATGTAAACAGGATGCCAAACCGATACCAAACTCTAACATTTTCCTGTTGTTGGCTGTTTCTGTGAGTGATAGGAGGCAACATCGATGGTCCTGTTCACAAACAACAGTAAACACAGTAACTACAAAAAGCATTGAATATGATTTCTTCAGTGGAATTCAGCAAATGAATTTTCTAAATATTCTGAGATACATGTATTGTTGTTTTGTCATGTATAGGCTTGTTTGCCATGTACAAAATATGAATTGAAAAGGATAGAATCAATAATGTACTGTATGTTTTGTGCTGGATTCTGCTATGTGCTTCCTGCTGGTTTAATAAGGCAGGAGGCAGCAGATGAAAGGTTGCTGACAACAACATTAACTCATTATTAATTACGTGAGGTAATTTACCCTCCGTCCCACAATGACCCCAGTTACACACACGGCCAGACAGGACGAGTTTCAGATTCTGCGTTCTTTCCTGAGGACATTTCCTGAGGACATTTCCTGATGATAATTGGCCAATTTGAAGAAAATAATAATGTTTTTGAAATTCTGTTTGCTTGATTTTTCTCCTTAACTTCCATACTTTAACCTTTTTTCTTGCTTCTCTTAAGACAGCTCTAGAATGCCTTAGATAAATATTTGGATTAATTTTGATAAAGTGTAGTTCTGTTGAAAAAAAAATAAAGAAAATCCTGACATATTGAGATATTGGATGATTTCAAATTCTAACATTGTTCTTGTAGAGTTATGAATATTCAAAACATGAACAACCCTTTTATAGAACCATATTTTGAGAGAAAACAAAATATTTATATAAAAGTAAAACCGCTTTACTTAAATTGGTTGAAAAATCTTGTTTTTAGAGTTAACTTGAGAAAGCCAGGATGTTCCCTGGAGATAGTTTATCTACCTCACACAACCTTCCATCTTAGCTTGTGCTATCTCCTATTCCCTCTTTCCTTTCCCAGCATTTCCGAGAGCACCTGGACAAGTTGTTTGCTCAAGGAATCGGAATGCTCGACGTCGGCTTGACGGAAGCCTTTAATCTTCTTAGCGATGTAAGTTATACGTAATGTTTTTTACACATTTCCAAACATCCACACATATTAAAGCATTTGAAAGGCTGCTTCATGCACAAAATTAATGAGTGTTGTCGTAATTAAATCAACAAAATCATGTGAAAATGCAGTAAACAAGCCACTTGTGACTCAGGGTACTTGACTAGGCTCATTATGAACAAGCAATTAATCAGAGACAGGCAGGTCTACTCTTTTCAAATGGCTTATATCTTTGACATGAGTATTTACAATCACTGATCTCCACAACATACTTTCTTTGTATCTGAATCTACCTCAAATCAACATAAATGATGTATGAAGTCTGTTTTCACCACATGTTTATCTTAAGTGTCTCCTTCTGTGTGCAGTTCAATGAAACAGGGAGAGGAAGTGAGTGCAGCCAGGCCATCATGTTGGTGACGGACGGAGCAGTGGACACCTACGACACCATCTTTGCCAAGTACAACTGGCCCGATAGAAAGGTACTGCAAATAGTGGTGGAAAAGTTGCTTTGAAATGTATTTTAAGTGCTAAACTAATGGCTGGGTCATTTGTGGAGATGACTTATTTATTCTTCATGTAAGATTAGATACTATTGCAATGTTTGCAAAAAAAAACATTAATTTTACTTTTTTGTCAAATGAATACAAAGCCTTTGTTGGAACTTGTTAGTTTAGCTCATTACATTTTCAGAATTATTTTCAGTTTATAATAATAAACCAAGAAAAATTAGGACTAAGACTTTTTTATCTTCATTGTGTTGCATGTCCAAAACTTGCATTTTAGTTTTTGTAACTAAAATACATGATATATGTCCAAAAATGTGTTATTAAAATACAGTTAAGACGTTAGGGGTTGAGAGGTTAGCACAAGGTCCTGGGTTCTGAGTGGAGTTCACCCCGTGTCTGGGTCGGTTTCCTCCAGGTGCTCCAGTTTCCCCTACCACTAAAAACATGTACAATAGGTGTGAATGTATTGAGTGAGTGAATGATGCTGGCTTTAATTGCGCCAGTGTGTTTGACACACGCTTCCGTCATCACCGTGGCACAATTCACTCATTCAGCAACGTAAATAAAAAGAATTCATGTCTTTCTTTGTTATTTGCTTTTTTTCTTATATATTTAAAATACACTTTCCTTTATCCCAATGATTAGATTTGAATGCCCAAGTAACAACCCAGCTGTCATCATGATCTGGTTTTCTGATGAGCTTTGGCTCCATAATGTTTCATTTTAGGAGTTCCTAAAGTTTCCTGTCATGAGACACAAGAGGCTGCATGGAGTGAGCTCAGGAGCTGCTCCGTTTACTAGGCCTCTAAAACACTGTTACGAACAGCAGCGTCTCGTAGGAGCGGGATGTCTCTGTGCTGTCCAAGAGGTAATTGTGGTACTCCACTCACAGTCTGCGAATCGAGGCATGAGGAAAGAGCTGCGAAAGAAAGAAAAGGGTCATTCTTGGGTCATTTCTGTAAAATAAAAAAAATGTTTCAGTTTTCACCTCTGAAAGGATGAAGAAACCCATGAAGTAACATGAAATAACCCAACACTGAACTCAATATGACAAGCTTACCGTTGGGATGTGGTCTACTGCTGTTTCGCAAATAGTTTTGACAATGAATCATCTGAACTCAAATAGTTTATTGCTACGTGAACTGAAAAAAAATGTTGTGAGGATATTTGACTCAAAATACCTGTTTTGTAATATCTTGTAAAGTTTATTATAGTACAAATATAAATATATGTTTGAATCCACATCAGCTTTTCCCCATGGGGAAAACAGGATATATGTCAAAACAAAAATCTGCTAAAGTATCATAATGGACATAACTACACTACTACTTTGTTCATACTATTTACAAGGACAACTTATTTAAAAAAAATTGAAATTGTCCCATCCTTTTTTTTTTTTTTTTACTTTACAATATGAGTGTGTTGCATTGTTTTCCCAGTGGACAGACTAAAAAGAGTAGTTTGTGAGGCAGGCTGACCCAGGGCAGCTGTGACAATAGTAGTTTATCACCACTGTATGGAGTGAAAGAATAATGACATTATTTGAGTGACAAAAAAGTGCTATATAAAAATGATGCATTATTTATACATGTACTGTATTTATGAGATCTTCAACTAAATCTCATACCTATTGACCGGGTTTTGGCTGAGGCCTGGACAGCAAAGAACAAATAGGGGAGAGCAACGTGAGTTTGATCCGTTTAGAGCCGGCTGATAATAGAAGTCTTCTGTCGTGAATGGTTTGAATGCTGCTTAACTTCAGTCCAGGTTTTGCAGTGAATACAGGGATTAACTTGTGAGCAGACCTTCATCATGCATATTGAAAGAGTCAGTGTAAGTAGATTTCAAACGTCTTATGAGGAAGTAAACATCAAAAGAAACTCTTTATGTACAGAAATGATTTAGTCTGTGGAAAACCAATAGATTAGGATTGAGCATTGTTTGGGATTTTTCAATAATGAAAGTAGTTAATTAAAATATGTTTCCAAGTCAAAATTTAATTTCCAAGACTCCAGAAGATACTGGACAAATTGTATTACAGTTGACTTTCTTGATCTGGTGAATTCCCTGAATATATAACACATTGTTTTCTTACCATATTGTTCTAATCTGTTGTAATGGATCCGTCAGGCGATGACAATGATGGTGCTGGCTGCTTTTGAATGACAACTTGACACATGTTGTTATTCACTGTCGAACTCATTACATCTGACAATGGCTACCATTTCTGGGAGAGATTGGGATTAGCAGCTATGTTTTGTTTCTAGATGTGTGTCAATTCTGTTGTGTGAAATGTTCTCTTGTTTAGAGTTTTTTGTGTGATCCCTGTGTGTATACATATCACAATTACAGAGCAGATTGAGGTTTCTTGATGTAGATTTGATAGAATATACCGCACACAAACTTTCAGAACTACAAAAGGACTGATAAAAGTTAATGAAGAGCATTGGAGAATTAGCAGGCAGCGCTCTCACAGTAAAGTGTTGTTTTGTATCAAGAAAAACTAAAATCCAAGAAATGTACCAGCCATGCTGTCAGGATGAGGGGAGGCAGTGAAAAATGGAGGCATCTCTGCAATGGCAGCTGTGCCCCCAGAGGCTTACATCTGGTCCAATCTGGCAACCTGCTCCTCACATACACACATGCACTCACCTGCCAGATACACCTGCTGTTAAAGCCAGCTCAACTCTGCAGGGCAAAATGGCTCTGGCAGCAACCAGACAAGCTTAAACTTTTTCCCTCACAAATATTTATTCATATATGTAATGTTTATTTCCTATTATCATCATCCATACTCCAGCGTTATTTACTTACTTGGAGTTAGCTGATAACTGTTAAAACTGTTATCTGGTTGTAGTTATTTCAAAATTCGACCGTATATTAAAGATGTGAGAGGAGCAGCTAATCAGTCCCAGATAATGTGTATTTCCTCTGACGCTGTTATCTGCTATGAACGCAGGAGCTGTGCACACTATCCAAATGTGATTAAAATGACTGACGTGAGCAATCTCTCCATAGGTCCGGATATTCCCCTACCTGATTGGTCGAGAGTCTGCCTTCGCTGATAATCTCAAATGGATGGCATGCGCTAACAAAGGTTGGAAATATAATAACATGTCATTTGGAGGTGAATTTACTTTTTAAAATTGGAGTCAGGCTGAATGTTGTAGCCTAATTCATGTTCAACCCTGTTGCAAATATTTGGGTTGAATTGTTAGTTTTGTATACAACTATTTTCTATGTATTTTGAAATTGCAGGAATTATTTTTAAATTTGCCACACACGATTCCTTTGTTGCTTTCTTGGAACTGTTGTGTGGTGTGTGCAAGACATGTGTTTGTCATTTTCAACACACAGGTCCGACAACAGACAGTTCCTCACACCCCGATGTCACATTGTGTTTTCTTGTAAGCATTAGTGTAAAGTTAACAGTCTAACATCCTCTTGGTTTCTGTGAGTGTTTTTAAGTAAGTAAGTAAGTAAGTGATCTTTATTTATGTACCGCCTTTCACAGACCAGAGTCACAAAGCGGTTTACAATTGTTTTGTTTTTTTGGGCATTTGTCCTCTCACTCCACAGAGAGATGGGAGCGGGGTACAGTAAACAGTAAATCATATTTCTACAGACCAACACAATAGAAGTTGTGATTTTAGCTCCCACAGATTCTCTTGTAGTTTTCCTGGGCTAGACATGTGACTTGCCGCACCAGTTTCTGTGAACACTGGTGCATGAACGTGTGTGAGGGTGACTTCTATACAACAATGATAGAGATTTGCCAGAGGTAACCTGAAGCTCTATCTCTGAATACTCTGACCCAGACGTAGTTATTATGTCAGTATGAACCCTCTACTCTATTTAAAAAACAATCCAAAAATATACCTTTATTTAACAAAGATAGTCCCACAGAGATTTCAGAGTCTCCTGGCCCCACAGGGGAGGATCCTATTGTTCGTGTTCTTAGTGGTAGAGGAGACCAGAGCTATGCCTCCAAGAGGATTTGTATGATTTAAAATCTTTAATGGACCTGTGCAATGGTTGTCCTTTAAGGTACGCACCTCCAAAGTCTGTTGTAGTGTTTTTGAGCTCATCTCTCCGGCCCAAGGACAGTCCTCCAGGGGGAGCACTCATTTTTCACTCATCTTGATGATGGACGATGTGCCTCACTGCCGTAGAGTGTATTGCACAGAAAACTGTGGAGGTTCACGCCATGATAATAATTATTATTTTGATTTACATGATCGCAAATTAGGAGTTCAGGCTTTAATTTCTTTCTTTATTCTTTGATTAAATATAACATTATTCTTACCGAATACTTTTCTCATGTCAGGAAATCAAATTTTATTTATATACGCTGCACTACTGGATTTAGCCTAGACCTAAATCAATGTCTGTGCTCGTGTAGTAAAGGTCGTAGGGAAGATACACCATGAGGGAGGGGTAGATGCAGAGGATGACCCTGAGTGTCTTTCTGTTGGTGAGGATTTTCTCCTTGGCTGCCTGATAGTGATGGTGGCACTTTGCAGTTTTTATGGATGACTGGAAAGAAGTGGTTCCCTCTATGTCTCCTCAACTCTTCTCCCAGTCTTAATGTTATTCTGGCTCCTCCCGCAGAGATAACTGTATATCCCCTTCATGCTCCGGCACATTAGCATGATAATAACACATTACCATCATGGCTAATGGCCCCACATTTGGTTTAACTCTGTCTCTGCCATTACATTTACATAGCATTTGGCCATTCACAATCCCATGCTGCCTCGCTCTCGTACATCGCTGCAGGCAATTCTTTGGTGATTACTCACACATGAATCCAGCGATCTATTCACTTCATCAGGCAAATTTCCTCGACCAGATGCAATTTCTATCATGAAATATGCTCAGTATGGATTCACGTCTTACTATGGTGAAGAAGACTATGGATCATCAATGAGGTCAAAGCTTGATATTTTATTTTCTGAGATAAGATAAGATAAGACAAGAAAACTTCCCTAGAAAATCCCCCTGCAAAAAGTGCAGTTCCATTTAAAAAAAAAAAAGATATATCCTGGATCCAGACAGATCCGGATCACCTCCAAAATGTTATACATGTTATAAACATCAATTTAACTTTTTTCCTTTGTCTGGAATAGTTCATGTTAAGTGGCTTCAATTGTTTTCAGAAACGAGATATCAATTGTTATTATTACTAAAATTAGTATTTATAGGGTAACTAAATGCATAGTGATCAGAATCTTATCTTACATTTTACTGATACTGTAAAAAAATAAATAAAGAAACAACATAATTTTCTATAGAATGGCAAAGTAAGAGCAGCAGATGGTTGACCACTGATCCGAAAAAGTACATTGTGTATCTTCGTAATATGTACATTTTTGATCACATTTCAGGCTACTTCACTCAGATCTCCACACTTGCTGATGTCCAGGAGAATGTGATGGAGTATTTACACGTCTTGAGTCGTCCAAAGGTGATTGACCAAGAGCATGACACCGTGTGGACCGAGGCCTACGTCGACAGCACTGTGAGTTCCATTAATCCCAAGTTACCTAACACGGTTCCTCTATTGTACTACTGACACTGCACACGGCTTTGTCATAAGTCCCATGGTCGTTTATTGTTTGGCTGGCTGCATTCACTTTGTTGGATCTGTTGGAGAGTTTTAAATGTTGTAGAACTATGCCATATATTCAGAATTAGACTTAGACAGACTTTATTGATCCACAAGGGAAATATTTGTACAGCCTGGTTCCATCTATGTTAGAAGGTATTCCTAGTATTTGATCAAGGTGTTAATTGTTATTATCCAGGCAGAAGTAGCAATGAAGATACAAGCAGAAGGCAGACAATGTGTGTAATTTAATTGTCTTACGATGTTAAAGTGTGAAAGTGAGTGTGTGCCAGATGGAGCCATTAAGTCAATGAGCCACTAGTGTGTGTTTTAGGGCAAACACACACAGTTATTACCCTCAATTCTAGCCTTTTATACACATACACAAACATACAATTCAGTTTGCTCATCCTCTACATCCTGTACAATATATTACTGTCTCCAACAATTGCACATATTTTATTCCAGTTTGGGATCGTGCACCGTTTAAGAGAGTTTTGATTTGTTTGTGAATGAGTTCGATTCAGTCATAGGCACACGGGACCAGACGAGAGGTCCCCCAGGACATCATAAAATGACAGTGTGAAAAAAAAGATCTTTGAAACTGAAAGAAAGATCTCACAACATGAATGTGACAAACTTAGAGAGACCTTTGAGTTCTCACCCATGTGACCACTCTAACCACATTTCCCAATTTTACTTTTTTGATTTTTTTCTTACCTCATCACCAACTATAGCTTTGTCATCTAATTTCACACTGTTTTCATGATCACCAATCAATGTAACACCTCCACTCCTGCATTGACCCTTCTTTTCCTTTTAATTCCTTTCCTGTAGCTTCCTCAAGCCCAAAAGGTAAACTGGACTTTTGAGGTTATAGCTGTGGCGTGTTTGGGACGTGGATTGTTCGTTCGATCGTTCGTGTGCATGTGTGTTGCGGTTGCTTCTCGACATAATTTGGTGAACTAACTCATTTTGGTAGTTTGTCTGCCTAAGCCATATGTGGTATAGTGGTTCTCAAACTGTGGGGCAAGCAACATTGGTAGGACATGCAGTCTGCTGGTGCAGGTTCATTTCATTTGGAGACAGATTTTCACATACTATATAGAGTTGCTTCTTGCCCAATGTTTGACCCTGGTTTGGTGACAGCTGGTTAGGTTTAGGCCTGATGAACATGATGTAGTTGATATACAGTTGATAAATGTATACTTTTTTCTTCTTAATTTCCATTCTATCATCAATTTGTGACTTTTGATTTATTCAAACATAGTATTTGGTTTAAAAAACGTTTGAGAACCATTGTACTTTTGCTAAAGCGCTTTTCACAGTTGCTAAAATAGAAGCACTCCAGAAGCAGTGCAAGACAACATGGACTGACCTCTACTCTGTCATGTGTTTTCTAAAAGGTTTTCTCCACGGCCTGATGACAGCATATTGTTAGTTTTACCCAAGTTTACTGAAAATCAATGCTTAATATAGGTTCAAGAAGAACTTTCCACTGTTGGAGATTACAGGAAGGGACTTTTGTCTTCATAATGTCACATTCTGATTCTGTCAACCGCATGCAATAACCTTGACATGTCATGATAAGAACCACTGCAAAAAGACCCCAAATTTACATATCATTTGAACTTTGAGTAGCACTTGTTCAACTGTAAAGAGCGCTGTTTGAGAGACGAGCATCATGGTTGTTGTGACCTCATGTGTACACCTGTATCAACACACTTTCAATCACATTCATTTGTGGTGATTTGTGTCAAAGCTGGCACCGAGTATACAAGGTTTTTCTGACGGCAATTTTGAACTCAAGATGAGACTTGCTTTATTCTTTGAAATAGGCTTCCAGGTGATAATGTGTAATGGTCTATAATGATGTACGGGTTGAACTATTCCAAAGCATTTATGTTGTTTTTGTCATTTCATTTCTCACTGTTTTATGAACCTAATGTGGATTGGAATAGGTGGCACTATAAACATCAAATAGCTGAGAGTCGTTATCACCCCACTGAGGTGCACACTTGTCCCTTTTGGCAACTATTGCCCAAATGACTTATTGCAATGTACTAAAACTTTGAAGGCTGCAATCAACAGTTATGTTTTGATCAATTAGCAGTTTAGATTGCAAACGTCCCATAGATATGAAGCTTACTAAATATGAATATTGTGATGCCATTAAAAGAAGTTGGACTTCCAATTTCCCTGTATCAATTTTTGTGTAATCTTTGCTTTGCCTTCTTTGGATATTTGCATTTTTCAGATAACACATAATCTGTTGCTATTTGGGGTGCACTGATTCATGTCCAATACTGATGTAGATACCTGATACTTCCAATACTAGTGAAGGGACTGGGGTTGTGGGTTCTATCTCTTGTTAGTCCAGGCCTTTCTATGAGAGTTTTGATTATCCCTGTGTCTGGGGTGCTTCAGTGTAGCACAGGGGTGGGCAATTATTATATTGATACATTATCGGTATTTAGTTACCATTTAATAAAGATTGGAGAAAGATAATATAGCGTATGCTACTTCCATTGAAAAAATTACAAGCGAGAAGGAGAGGGCACCTGAATATATACAATGTTTTCTTTGTGTTTGCGTGTTCATCTTTTGCATCTGCGTCTATATTTTTGTAAACTTTTTACAATATGGGTACTTTGAGGAAATTATGATTTCATTAAGTATGGATTTTTTTATTTTGTCTTTAGTTTTTCAAGATTCATGTTTTTTAAATATTATGAGATATAACATGAATTTGCAATTTTTCATTGGGTAGTGATTTCCATTCATTTAAACCCCTTATGACGGGTTTTAAAAAAAAAAATAGTGGATATCAAAATTGCATGACAATGTCAATTTGAAAGAGATTCCGGCAAAAAAAATTCTATATTTTATAAAAAGAACGTGTTTTTCATGAATTTAAGTTGTCTATGCTCTAACCTGTGTGTGACGTCACAGCAGGTTACGCCCATGCATTGAAAACCATGGATCTATGCCACAGGACTGCCTTTTCTCTCTTCTCTCCACTGGTGCCCAACACAATACTGCACTCTACAGGTGACAATTGCTCACTACACATAAATTTGCCGTTTTGAGAGTGAAAAAGTGTTCGAGGTGGGATTTGAACCCAAGTATCTGGATTAGCAGTCCATCGACACAACCACTGGACTATCTCAGTGACAACGAAAAGACACAATCTAGTAGTTGAGTTAGACTTGCTGTACACGGCCTTGTCATCTTGAATATCCGCGAAAAAAGAATGAATACCAAATTGTAAACAACTTACAGCATTGAAACGTACCCGTTCTGACGTCACCAAGGGCTGTGAAGTTTTTTCGTTTCTAAGGGCGTTGCTATGGGGTTATTTCGATTTGGGGGGATCAGACAAAAAAAACAACAACTGATTTTGAAACCTTTAGTAGTTCTCTTCTAATATAAAATGGTATTAAAACTGTATTTCTAAATAAATCAAACCCGTCATAAGGTCTTTAAATAGGGGGAGACGGTATACAGTTTACAGATGGGAAAAGGTCCAATGTCCACATAGGCTCGTGAATCGGGCTTTATGTGGCTCCTGAGCCGCACATTGTCGAGGTCAGGTGTCGTAATATAAGGGATTTCAACCAAACCTGTGGAGAACTTTAGAAGTGCAAGGCATTATTATTATATGAAACAATGGATATAAAGGCAATGAATATGCTTTCCTAACCTGTACAGTATGGCAATATGAGTTTATGTTAATCCATTTTAGTTTTTCCTTGTCAGCTAACTTTCTCAGTGATCCTTTCTAAAATAATATTCTACGCATTTATCACTGGTCTATCCTGCTCCAGTTTATATTTTATTATATATTTTGTGTACTTGTCATACACCTATAGCCAAGCACACACACGCATACCACTGCAGAGTGTGCTCCAGCTTCATCCATCATCTTGCGGCTCATTTGGCTTTGTTTCCCACTCTGTCGGATAAACTGACACTAGAGCTCAGAGAGGACGAGAGGCAGGCGAGTGTGGAGAGTGTGCGTATGTCTTTGTGTGTGTGTGTGTGTGTGTGTGTGTGTCAGACAATGGCATAAGTTGGAAACAGAGATGTACTGAAAAAATAAATAAATCTAGTTATTTCACAATGCAGATCAAAATTATTAGCCACCACCTAGAAATTATTAGGAACATAAGCAAGTCCTCTTTGGTTGTAATACCAACCAAAATACATCATTGTAATCATTGTAGCGATATCATCAAGTATTGCACAATAAAACAATGAAAAGCTTAATTATGGCGAGTTTTGTATTTGTAGTTTTTCTAATAAAGGCTTAAATCATTAACTTTAAAGTTGTTTACTGATGCCACAAAACGATAGAAGCAGTGAAACTCACATTGTGCTGGATTTGCTCCCAGCCTCACTGGGGGTGACTTACTGTTCCCTACAGGAGCTTTGCCTCTGCAGGGCGCACACGTCATCATTAACCTGCTCCACAAGGAGACCAGGGGCATCTCTAACGTCCCATCACACGATCTATTGCAACAGCACAGAGTAAGAGCTGTCTCTGTCTATAGCGATACAAGTCTGGATGGTCATTTTGTCTATGGTTACAATAGTTTATGTTCGATGCAGTGACGTGCAGTGAAGTTCATAGTTGGTGAGGCACTAACTTCATATTGATCAGATTTACAACTATACCATATGACCTACATAGCTTTTCACTATTTGTTTAGCGAAGGTTCATAGATCATGTTTAAAGTAGAATAATTACATGCATTGACATTGCGTTCAAAAAACACATTGAACGCAAATAAAGCTTTTGTCGGTCCTGTTCCAACTGTATGTTTTGAGTGTTTTCATTGCTGGGAATGAGCCATTTAAACATTGTCACACGTTCAGAAAAGCAGCAGGAAAATCTGATGTTTCTTGCAGGACACCCACACAGACTGTCTTTCCCAGTCCAATATGTTTGAATAGAGCAGGACTTCTGGCCTCAATTTAAGACCAGTTTAGAAAATTGTTTGAGCTTGGACTCATCTTTTTCAAGGAAGGGTGGAAAGTTGAGTGAAAATAGTAAAAAGAAATAAGTGGCTAAAATTGAGGGTATACTACAGTCCCTCTTTTCAGTGCAATATTTTTTATTTTTTTTTACAACGTACATCTTGTGTGCCATGTGTACACTCCAAAAACATAACATTTGCAAACTGTTAGGGGTCAAATCATAGTTACCTTTATTTAAAGTCAGAGGAAAACTTTTGGTTGTCAATGTGGACCACCATCCAGGGGTTTTACTGCCTTTGAACATATAGTTGACTATGCTGATTATTTTGCTTATTGGTTTGTGTAGTGGTTTGTCTTAAGAAGTACATATGATGGGTGAGGAACCTCCCTTTATTTTGTTTATTGTGTCATGTTTCATTTTCATTCCATTCCATGGGCTAACTTGCATCCGTTGTCTCACATTCACACTCACAAACACACGCTCATTCACCCTGAACTATTGCACATGTTTTTAGTGGTAGGGGAAACCGGAGTACTCGGAGGAAACCTACACAGACACGGGGAGAACATGCAAACTCCACTCAGAAAGGCTGAGAAGCGAGAGTGCTATCCACTCAGCCCCTGTACTGCCCAAGTTTAAAATGTAATCCCTGTGATAAACTGTGATTGAAACATATATTAAAAGTATTATAGATGAATACATTTCAAACCTGGACAGATGGGGACTCCTCTTCAACAGCTATTTTGAAAAGTCATCAATTTAGAGTAAAAATGAATAAATATGAATTCTTAAAAAGTTACATGGGAAGAGTAAAAATCCCAAGAGAGTTTTTCTTTTTGTTTTCCATTTTGTTTTATTTTTCCATGAGTGTACTTCATTTAAAATGTTATTCATTATTCATTGCATTTTACATGGTCACTTTAACCATGGTAAATGTAAAAAGGAGGTCCGCACTTCACATTTCTCTTTGTTGTTTATACCAACTTCACACATTTAAGTGCCCCATACCTGTATACAAGTGTGATTAGCTTGTCACATGTTAACTAATAGACAATATTTCCATTACTTACAACAATTGCACAATTACTCGACATATATATATAGCCCTATATATATATATATATATATATATAGGGCTGTCAAATGATTAAAATGTTTTTTCGAGTTAATTACAGAAAAATGTATTCATCGTAATAAATACAATTTTGAACTATCAGCCAAATTATGCCATATTTTTCTGTAAATGGTTGTTTGAATGGAAAGATAAATGACAACAAAGTTTGTTTATTATAATGACAATAAATCCACATAAAATGGCATTAACATTATTAACATTCTGTCTTTCTGTAGTAGACTCAGACCAACACTATTGTTTGTAACAAGGATGAGATGAGAATGGGGCATTTCAAAACAGTCTGAAATGCAGAATGTCAGCCAATGGCTTAAATCTAAATCTAAATACCTTCAGCCTATGTATGATTTCATGGTGCATAGATGACCTCCAGGTATTTCACAATAGCCTACTACACAAGCATTACACCACACTGGAAATATTAAGTAAGTTAAGTGATCAAATGTATATAAAATATCCATATATTCCAGTCCTTCTTTTGGTCTGACTATTATCCTTGTGTTTAAACGGACGTGGGCCGCATCAGTGTCATCTTCTGGTCCTCCTCTGCATTCCTGACTTTCTCCTCAGACTCTGAGCAGTGATTATGTAGATTGCTCTGACCTTGCACTGCAGGTCTCCCCTGGTTATGTGTGTGATAAGTCAAGCTCCAGATGCAAACAGTCCCTTTGGGAGTTAGATAGCCCTGTTTGAAGTCGTTCACTTTGAGTTCAAGGAAGTCCTGCTCTCACTTCCTCGTGGCTTAGATATTATTTTAGAAATTTTGTCTCTTGGGTATAACACATGAGACAGATACTTCATCGATCACGAGGGAGATTGCATTGTCCATCGCTCACATTCATACATGCATAAAATTAACAGAATTAAAAGAGAAGAATCTCTTTTGATGTGAATGTGTGCCCTTGTTCATGATGATGTTTTCTAATATGGTTCTTATATGGTTCCTTACTGGCCTTCGCAAAGGTCAGAAAAAGTAAAATCCCTTAATTCTGTCAGTACAGCTGCTTGTATGATCACACAAAATCTGTAAGTTACTGCTGACACTAGTTTGCATAAAACTAACTTCATAGCTTCATCGTTTTTTTCAAGCCTTTTTCAAGCCATTCTGAAATGGGCTCCAGTGGCGATTTTCTCCTCACATGTGAAAACTATTTCGCTGCAAGACTTTACTATTTCTCAATGGAAATTAATTGAGTTTCCATTCAACAACAGAAGTGCTTTTCACATAAAATTGGTGAGAGATAGGGTGAAAAGTCTCAGCGGTGCAAAATTGCAACGTATTCTCTTCTGGTGAAGTGACAGCTTGCATGACGCCATGGTAACACTCATTACAAGTTTGATAGTGGAGAAGGCTTACTAACGTTAAAATTGCATTTTTCCAAGGTGCTTTTCAGTTGTTTAAAAAATGAACTTAAATGCAACTGCAAATGTACTTATTTTATATTTCTAGAGAAAAGTTACATATAAGCATCTACATTGTAAAGAATGCTTTTTATATGTGTTTATTATAGCATATAAGAGGCACCCGTGATTAAAATAGGCACATTTCTGACCATATCATGTTTAAACTGTTCCTTCCCAGACCATAATACAATGCTTACTTACTGTAGAGGCCTGTGTATTTGATGCGACTGGAAAGTCTATTAACCATTGTCTATACATTAACAGGCCCCTGATATATGAGCCCTCACAATGGAGGTTGGAAGCGAGAGTATTTTTAGCTTGTTTCTTTTGTCCTGTGATCGATCCGAGTCTCCAGCAGCAGGACGTCCACTGTTACATTAGACACACTGTATTTAGGGCTGTGTGTTCTTTCTCTGTGATGTCCAATACTGAATCTTTATTTTTGCCATTTCTATTACCTGCTGTCTCTACTATAGGAAGCGGCTGAAATAGAATCAGTTTTCATTATAATCATTCTGGCAACAAAGAAATGTGGCTGAGATCAGCTAAAGTATAAACATGCCCTGTTTCTCATGCCTTAGTGATGCATTTAGATGTCCATACAAACTCAAATTGACTACATTCACAATAGTGTTTGACTTGACACATATGGAAATAACAGTTTTTATATATATTAAAATAGATAAAGATCAAAAGAGGCAGGGAGATTGACATCGTTAGCCTCATGTATGGATGAGGTTCTGACTTTTTTACCTTGTATGTCCGCAACACTGTGGCGCTTTCATGTCTAATGCAGATGAGCTTCACGAGTCGACAGCCACCACAAAGATAAATAAAATTATTATGTTGCACTCTTTTGGGACGAGAGCTACCCATAATCAGCCCCAATAAGCACATTCCACAGGAGATCAAAAGAAGCCTGTGATTGAACACAATTTAGGGGAAAATAATAAACATGAATAAAACATCTCTGAAGGTTTTGTTGTTTCCTGAGCTATTCATGTCTGCAGTATGGACTTTTAGACATTCATAAATCAATGACTATGTTTGTATATGTGTCTCTTTTAATTTCTGGTAATGGGGAATCTTTTGCCATACTTGCTTGCAAAAGCCAGATCAGACCTCTGAAGCTAGGGTTAGTACTGTGATGGGAGACCCCTGGCAACACCAGTGGGCCAGCTGCAGCTGTAAAGTGCTAAACTGCAAGACACTTCACCCACTTTGCCTAGAATGAGTCTGGTTTGTGTGTGTGAATGATTGGTGTTGGTCAGAGGGGCCCGATAGCACATACTGGTTGCCTCGCTTCTGTCATTGTGTCTCTGGGCAGCTGTGGCTACAGTAGTAGTTTATCATCACTTTGTATAGAGTGAAAGAACAATGACACGTGAAGTGTCTTTGAGTGTCCTGAAATGTGTTGTTAATTATTAGTATTATTTTCTATTATATATAAAGTATCTAACTTTAGTATAGCCCAAAAGTCTTTAACAGCTCCCACTACTGCAGCTTGTCTTTTGGACCACAAAGACCAGCTTCCACTCCCCATGCACATTGCTTGTCATTGTTTCTGTACTTTGAAACTGTACACACTTTTATGATAAAGACCCAAGTGCTGTGTTTTGTATTTGCAACATGTGTATGTTGTTTTTAATAGATTTCAATAACTTTAATTTTGTTGTTATGTTGACATAGTTGGACAATGGTCAAGGGCCAGTTCTGATGACAACTGTAGCAATGCCAGTGTTCAGCACAAAAAATGAAACGGTAAGAGAAAGAACTCAAACAAATCTAATCATGCACCTGATGTGATTCTCAAATGTGGTTTATGTTTGTTTTCCTCAGAGGAACAGGGGCATTCTGCTTGGTGTGGTGGGGACTGATGTGCCAGTGTCTGAGCTCCTCAAGACCATCCCCAAATACAAGGTACCTGCTAATCCACTGTGCCACTCACAAGCACTCAGCGATTGCTTTATTCTAGAAATACTTTTACTGATTTGGGGCCCCCAGCAGGAGCCTCTGGGGAGTCCCAATTTATAACAATAAAAGCTGGGTATGGAGTGACTGTGTATTTGTTGTATGTAAATAAAGGCATTTGATTTACATACAACAACCAGGGCAGCACGGTGGCTGAGTGGATAGCACTTTCAGCAAGAAGGTCCTGGGTTTGAATCCCGGTCAGAACAGGACCTTTCTGAGTCTGCATGTTCTCCCCCTGTCTGCGAAGGTTTACTCCGGGTGCTCCAGTTTTCCCTACCATTAAAACCACGTATAATAGGTCCGGCATGCGCCCCCTGTATGGCGACCTCACTCCCATCTCTGTGTAGAGTGAGCGATAATTGGTCAAAAAAAAAACAATTTGTGACAAATTGTCTTTGCGACAATTTGTCACAGACCCTGTGACTCGGGTCTGTGAAAGGCGCTATATAAACAAAGATTACTTACTGATTGATTGATTGATTGATTGCATGGTCATATTTCTGTGTTCAGAAGTCATCTATAATACTGCCCTTGGGCCCCATCTGTTCTGTACTCCTGATCCATTTCATTTAGAAGCTGGTATGAAAATATCAATCTCCAAAACTAACTAAAATCAAAACACTTCACTTATATCTGACAGCATTGTGAGTCCAGAATATTAGTAGCTTGATTAGTCTGGTTCTTCTGTATCTTGTCTTTACAATCATATTTCTGCTGTATTCATTTCCTCTGTGTTTCAGCTGGGCATTCACGGCTATGCTTTTGCTATCACCAACAATGGGTACATCCTCACCCACCCGGATCTGCGGCCACTCGTGAGTTCACTCATCATTGCTTATCAACAATTTATTCAATTGTGGCTAATGTTACTGTAACGGATTTTACATTGTCTTTTTTTTTTTTTTTCACATGTTTGTATTAACTCTTTGTTTTCATAACAGATCTAACACACACAAACGCAAACACAGTTCCAAACAAATGAAATATTCTAACAAAACAATTATTAACCTTTATAGAGTTAATCCTGACTAATCCTTTTCAGCTCACACAGATCAAATGTACATTTCAAACCTTTGGTCAGCAACAAATGCTGTTTTCCTGTTTGAGATGTACATTTTCTCATGTCTGTGTTTATATTTGAAGCTCTGTGTAAAAGAGCAAAGTGTGTTCCAGGACAGCTTCTGTGAATAGACTGAAATACAAGCTGTGAATGGAGTGATTAAGTCTATTGTCCTCAGTCAATGCTCTGACAGAGACAGCGCGAGGCTCCGGTTTAATGCCCGAAACAGGTGATAGCGCTGGCAGCATAAAACGTGCCAAATGATGAGCAATAATTTTCTAAGAGTCAAGACACAATGCTGCAGCTGATAAAGGAATTGTTAAAGACATAAGCCATTATACACGGTACATACCTGGACATTAGGTCTTGAAATAAAAGTAGTAATGATAAACTAAACTAGAAAGGAGTTGGAAGGGGCCATCAATGACGTTACCGCCATATACTGTTCTGGTCACATACCATTTGTTATATTGTAAATTATTATATTACATTTTTCCAGTACGGTGACGGTAAGAAGCGGCGGAAGCCAAACTACAGCAGTGTGGATCTGTCGGAGGTGGAGTGGGAAGACAAGGACGACACGGTCAGAATTGAGACGCCATACAGCATAAAGCTACTAAATCATTAGGATGACATTTTGATACTGTTTGTTGCTGTATTTGTAGCTCAGAAACGCAATGGTCAACAGGAAGACGGGGACGTTCTCTATGGAAGTGACAAAAAGCATTGACAAAGGAGTGAGTTTCACAAAGGACTTCTTATAAACACTTTAGTCCAAAAGGCATTCTAGAGGGAATACTCTGGGGAGGATCCTCGGTGCCATCGGGCTTGTACACTTGGCACAATACTGTACGGCATAGACGTGGGGATTTGGGTCTGTGATTTAGTTTTTGGTGCATGAATGAGAGCGCATCTGTCTGCGTGAGCCCCTTATCTCCCCTGAACACATGTTGAATGAGTGTGGCAGAGAGAGAAAGAGCAGCTCACTGATTCTGATGACTTTTAATGGCTTTATCATCAACATTAAACACAAGCTTGTCAATTGCTTACTCTTGCTTGCAGACATTTACATAGAAAACAGTGCACATTAAGTAGAAGCATTTACAAATCAAATGCATGTGAACAGAAAATTGTCTTACTGCTATTGTTATTTTCTCACCACTAGATGGAGCCACGCAGCAAGAATTCAAAACCAGCATCATAACACCATCCCTATCCAGTAATGTTGTTTTTGCATTGTTCTCATTTCAGAAACGGGTGTTGGTTTTACATAACGATTACTACTACACTGACATAGAAGGGACTCCTTTCAGGTAATCATTGTATTTAGGAATGTAAATTACATGAGTTGTGGTGTTTTCTTTAAAAACATAAATGTCACTATCGTTTTGACGGTGTGCATATTTCATGTCTAGTCTCGGAGTCGCTCTCTCAAGAGGTCATGGGAAGTACTTCTTCAGAGGAAACGTCACAATTGAAGAAGGTAAACTAGTCAAGCAATTTATAATAAGAATGATAAGTGCATAATTCTTTACTTAATTGATTATTCATAGCATTTTACAGCTGGATTACCTACATTTTTGTTTCCATCAATAATTGTTCATCCCAACAAAACATTTTTTTGCAATACTTGTAACAAAAAGCCATGTAATCACTGTTTGATGCTTTGGGCTCCTCAAATTTTCTAGTAGAACCATTATGTTTTTAGAGCTTCCCTTTCTGTGACACTTTTAACTTTAGTCAGAAATATTTACTCATTCCTAAACATTTCGCTTACAAATGTTTTCAAAAATGGATTATTAGTAAAAGTGATTTATCAATAGAACCTTATTGAAACATGCATTTAAAAATAATTTGGCGTCAGCTTTACCCAGACAAAACAATCAGAGAAAGATTAGACTGTAATCGTAAATGCTCAATGCACTGATTCCCTTTTACAGCTGGGCGATGTGACCTGTGGCCTTCTGCTGCTTTGTCGGTCACTGTAGCTGACTTGAACAAACACACTATCACTGAAGGACTATTCAATCATTATACATTTGGTTTATTTTTTTATTCTGCCTTGCTTTTGACAAATGCAGTAATTAGCTTTCAAACCAAAATTAGACAGGAAGTTAAATATTTCTTCAGTGGCTTTAGGGTCGCCTGATGGTGTAGTCTGTATGCCTGTGTCTATTTTCTTGTCTAGCCTCTGCATGTTAATATTCATGGTGTGGTCTGTCTGTGTGTTTCTTTAAGTACGTCTATCACAAAAAGCCCTCGAAGCATGACTTGGCTTTTCCTGATCTAATCACAGCTGTCACAATCATTCAAAAAACACATTTCTCACTACAACTTTCTGTCTGTGTTTAACCCTCTGTGCATATGTGAGGTGTGGATGCCTACCACCATATAATAATACCAGTTCAACTTGAGTACATATGCTTATGTATTTTCAGATATGAAATTCAGATTATGTTCTTTTTTGACAGGTCTTCACGACTTGGAGCATCCAGATGTGGCTTTAGCCGATGAATGGTAAACGTTATTTACATGTAAAGCCTCAACTAAGTCAATTTTCCGTTTTGCGCTTCATTTGTTCATTGCACATTCGTATCCCTGCCCCCCGCGATATTTATTTTTCCTCATACGCATGGACTGACCATGAGTGCGTGATTTTAGTAATCCACTTGTCAATAGCAGTAATCTGGCAAATGTTATGCTTTTATTATTTGGCTTTTGACTACTCGGGATAATTGTTCTGCCGGTGCTCTTCACCCAATAGGTTGCATTCATATGACATCACAAAATTGAATCGAATTGTGATCGGCTGAAATTCTTCCTGGTAACTAGCCTTAGTTTAGAGTTAATTTCTCTGTCCTTTTTAGGCCAATCCACATTAAACCAAACAGCCAAAAAGTTTTTTGTCAGCACATATCAGCTAAGGTCTAGTTATTTTCTCATTAAGGTGTCTAGAAGTTTTTACAATATAAAAAAAAAAAAAACGTATGCATGATGTTGGCCAGTAGAAAGGACATTCAGACAACATATAAGGATAATAATAATAATGATAATGATAATAATAAAAATAATAATATAATGCATTGGTTTTATATAGCAGTTTTATGGACCCCCAAAGACGCTTCACATGTCATTATGCTAGGCTTGTGAATTTAATCGCTTTCAAATTTAAATAATAATCTATGCAAACTTCCACAATGCCTCTTTCCCATATAGTCTATTGACACCTGCCTTGTATAGAGAAACTAATTTCCTCTTTACCTCTTTGTCTCTTTTTACTTATAACCGGCATATTTCCCACTTATTTTTTCCAACAGGACATACTGCAACACAGACGAGAACCCAGACCATCGCTACATGTCCCAAATAGAGGCAATCAAACTTTACCTGAGTGGGCATGAACCGCAGCTGAAATGTAAGCTAATGTTATGATGTTGCTTCATAAATATTGTCATTGTTTTGTTCTAAGATGTGGCATTTGATCTGATTAGGTGACAAAGAACTAGTTCAGGAAGTCCTGTTTGATGCTGTGGTCACTGCTCCACTTGAAGCCTACTGGACAAGCTTAGTTTTGAACAAGTCTGAGTACGTCACATTTTTTAAGTTTTAAGATTTAAAGCTGGGGTGCTGAACTTTACTTACAAATCCTGTTTAACTAATTCCATGCTGCAAAATCTAGTTCATTCTATCACTAGATTTCACATTTTTTGCATGACAGAAAAGAGAAGAAAAGTGAAAAATATTGTGAATACCATCAGTTTTCAGCCCAAAGCCTCAAATAGTGACTTATAGGGCTCTTTCCTTTAAGTATGCATATAAAATGTTTTCTGATAAGATGAATATAGCATGTTGTGGCCTGGTTTGCTCACAATATAATGTTAGACTGTATGATTAGGGTTTCTGTTTGTATTATTGATGAAACAAGAAAATTAGGTACCTCAGCTTTAAAGCATTATTGCCCTCTTTACTGTATGGAAAGGCAGCTAATATATCTCCACTGTATGATTATAGAAATTCCGACAAAGGTGTGGAGATCGCTTACCTGGGCACGAGAACAGGCCTTTCCAGGATCAACTTGTTTGTTGTTCCGGATGAGCTAACGAACCAGTAAGAAGGCAAATAATCCCTGATATAATTCCACATCGGAAGTCTGATTTTTTTTCAACGCACCATTTGTGTTTGCTTGTGTTTTAAGAGACTTCCTGACAGCTGAGGACAAGGAAGGAGTTTTTAATGCAGATCACTTTCCCCTTTGGTACAAAAGAGCCGCCGAGCAAGTTCCTGGGACATTTGTCTACTCTCTGCCATTTACTGGTGAGTATTTTAGAATCAATCACAGGAATATAAAAAATTGCATATTTCTCCTTGTCCTAGAAACACTGCCTCTCCCCCTCATTTGAGGCTGGGTTTTTTTTTTTTTTTTTTTTTTTTCAGTTTTTGCTCAAACTAGGGGCTTTCAAAGGGGCTTCAGTTCTTTTCAAAAGCTCTTGCCCCAATCAGAAGAATATCTCACAGAAAGGCTGAACACAATACACTGAAGCACCTAGAAAAATCGCCTTTTCCAAAATAAAGTGTGCACTCATCTGACTTAGCTCTAGGCTTCCATTAGAGCAACTGACAAGCCATCTGAAAGAAAGTTATTTAAAGATTACACAACTTTCCTCTTGGCATAATACTAAAATATGCTGTGGGATTTAGAAACTCACATAAGATAGACTTTTTGTTATGTTTTTATTTCAGGATAAGCAATGGATGATAATACCTGATTCTGTTTTACCCATGTTTTATGTTTTGCTTGGGTTTTGTATTGGAAAACTAGGGCTGCACAATTAATCACACTCAAATCAAAATCACAATTTTAGTGGCCACAAATTTCAAAGACTGCAATGATTTAGATTACATTATTTTCTACGCTAATAGCAAATCATCATCTCATCTTACTATCCCTGTGTTTAGAGCTCTAAAGTAGACTTAAAATTAAAAGGGTTCTCAGCAATTGTCAAAATAAGCATCTGGATCTCTACCCAAATCTCTATCTTAGTTTTAAGCACAGTGGGATTTTAAGTGAGTATTAATTTCAACAGTGAAAATAGTCAAATTAACAAAGGCAACTTCGTGACATTTGATCAGGTTTCAGATTTCCCTCAAATTCAAATCTTCTGTCTGCACTTTGAAAGTTCTTTGAACAAAATCATAGATACCCTATTTTCCGGACAATAAGCTGCAGGCTCCGATTTTTAGAAAGAAATTGAATTTTGTACTTGTACAAGACGAACTGGATAATAAGCCACACCTTTTCCACATTGTAATATTGAAAATTGTATCACAAAAACGTTCATCATCTCTTCCTTTTACTGTCAGTAAAAAGAGTAAGAGTAAGAAGTGAGTCACTGACTGTTCTTAATCTTCTAGTGTGAAGCAGAAAAGTAAGGAGCAACATCTATTGGTCTCTTTTCACATTCATGTCTATACAGAGAACCAAAACTTATTATGAGAAACTGTATTTACACAAAGATATTATAAGTGAGGACTTTTAATCTGCTTGATTGACAAATCTTACAATTTAAATGGACCTCTGTGAACTACTCTTCAACTCTGTCGGTCTACCGTTACTTGGCAAAATGTTTTTGGCACCCCAGAACAATAAAAATAAAAACTTAAGCCGCACCTTACTATGCAGCCGCATAGTAAGCCGCAGCCTTCAAAATGCAGGAAAAAAGCCATGGCTTAGGCCGAAAAATATGGTGTTTGTGTTCTAATTTCGATTGAGTCGGGCTGTTATATAATGCAAGATAGTTTTCTGATCTGAACTTTGCACTGCGTAGGATCTGAGAACAAGAGTGTGGTCCTGGCCAGCACAGCCATTCAGCTCCTGGACGAGAGGAAATCGCCGATAGCTGCGGGTGAGTGTGCACTAAAGTGGCTGTTTCCCCTCCTCTTGCACACTTCTCTACAATTACTACTGTCAGCGTGCCTCTGCATGTTTCTCCTCTCTCTGAGCTCAGCCCTCTGCCCACATGCAACAACTCTATTATTATTTATATATATCAATTTTATATATTCATTTATTTGATCGGGACAGTGCATGTTAATGAACAGACATAGCAGGTTCACATTTACTGTATCATCTAATAAGGTCGGTGATACTGATTAATTGGTATTAATATATTTCTGAAAGTATAGGTTGCTGTGCTATAATATCCACATTTGTCTGATATTTTAGCAAATTTCTCACGATTTGCCACTGTGACACAACCAAAATGTATTATTATCAATTCAATGATATTCAAATCCATGCCTTACATTCAACTCTGATTTTTGCAATCCTATAAAGTTCATTATTTTGTGCTGATGATATTAAGAAAAAAATATCCTTTGTCTTATTATCATAACAAAAGTAATAATAATAGTCATTTATAATAATCTTATTAATAGTAACAATTGTTATTATTGTTTTCAAAATGATTATAGATTATATCATACTTGAAGAAAAGTAAAATGGTGTGTAACTGTGTAAATCTGGAGCCTAGTTGCTGCTGTAAGATTTCTGATTGAACAAGAGACAAGACTTTAACATAAAAATCATAGCTGAGGAGATGTAGCGATCGAGCTGAGATGTAGGCTGAAAATGCAAATAGTGTGTGGGCTGGTTCGGGCCAGTGCTGAGCTGCAGACACTGAAGACGCTAACGTAACTGGACAAGCTGATGACATCATCACCACGAGCCGCAGGACACTGTTTGAGTCACAGTAACATGTATACGAGCGTGGTCACATACCAGGCCACGTGCAGCCAGGTTTGACCATGAGAGTTATCTGCACTTATTACACTGTTGTTGTTGTTGTTATGAAGGATTACACCCAGATATCCATAGTGTTTCAAAGATATGAATATATTTAGGACATTAGAGAAAATAAACTTGGATATGTCAGTCAGTTCAGTAATGTACAGCAATAGGATCTCAAAAATTCCTTTTGAATACTGCGTCTTTCTATTTACATAAAGCGATGAATAATGAATATGCTTCACAATGTTTTCCAAATCGGTGCCCAGTTCTTGGATGAAATACAGAAAACATAATGGTCCTCCAACAACACACATGTCACAGAGAAAGCCACGCTTGTCAAACTGTCCAAAAATCTATAGTAGTAAGAATACCACACTGGGTTTCACTAGCAGGGAGTGTGTCTGTGATACTAACATGATGCGTTTTTCTCTTTTGTTCAAACATGTAAAATAATCCACACTTTCTTTATATATATGTGTATAAAAAAACATTATCAATAACATAACAAATCCCTGAAAACATCTTAAACGTGTGGTTCTGTAGCATTGGTAGGTAGCATCAAAGTGGTTTTCACAAGTTTAACTAAGAGACACCAACTTTATTATGTTTACTTATTCACTCATTATTGCTTTTCTTTATAGTAAAAATATTTTCCTTCATTTGCAAATATATTGTGAACTATAGGCACAGTCTTTATAAACTCCAAACATGGGTTATTACAACGCTAATGTAGACACGTACACTCCCAGTCAACAGGACACAACTTCAATGACATCTGCCTACAGCTTTTATAAATCTCGTTTAGTTTTTTTCTATCTAGTACGTACAACTCTGACTTTACTAAAATACTTACAAATACATCATTATAAATATAAAGATTTGTTATTTCTGATATGTATCTTTAGACAACAATGGAATTCTTAGGTCAATACCATCTCACCATCTTCACATTAGTCTGCATTAATTCTTACATTTCTTCTTTCTCTATTGGTTTAATGCTTTGATTATTGAATTTACAAGTGGAAGTCATTCGAATGATTGTGATGTGTTTATACTGGTGCATTAGTCATTAAGTCTAATGTCCAAATACCTGATTTTAACAGCTTTTATGACAAAATGAAATGACCTGATCGAGGTGAAACAGGCAGTGGTTGCAAACTGTATAGTGCATAGTCAGGTTATTTTTTTGCTACGTAAGTTTTTGCTAAATGATTTGAAATGCACAACTTAACCTCATTGTCTTTCCAAACACATGTGGCCTCGGTCGTTTTTACTTTAAAGGGTTCAAATGTGTGCAGTTCGGTCTTTTCCAGTCTGGTCTTAAGCGATTGCATTTTCCAGTGGTTCTTTCTCATCGGCGGATGCGTGGCCCGCCCCCTGCGCTGCAGCTAACTCCTCGTTCTTCTTGAGCTCTCTCTGGTATTTGGCCATGATAGCAGCGTAGGCACAGCCGTACACTGCGGCTGCAAGCATCATGAGACACACAATCCCACATACCACTCCAGTTATGATCACTGTAGCAATAGCGTGCCGCAAGTTGACAGGTCTTTGTCTTTGCTTGGGTTCGCACTCGGGCAGGCTTCCTCCTCCCCCACCACCTCCACCATCTCCCCCGGCGGAGTGGTGGGTGTGGCCGGATCCTGAGGGGTGGTTGCCGTGGGCGTGGCCTCGGTGCAGCCTATCTGTCTCCAAGTGGTGGATGTTGGCGAAAAGGTAGTGATAACTTGTGGTCATGCAGCTATGGAAGATCTGATACGGAATCTTCTGCAGATCTCTGTTCTTCATGTCGTCAGGTTGAGTGCAAAGAACCTCATCTATTCCGCCACCTAAATGGAAAGGTGTGCAATTATAATAATGGAATTTTACAAATAGTAATATTGCAGTAAGCTATCATTACTGTTCCTATTATTATTGGTCCTCAATCTGCTCCATTTTAAGTCATTGCAGCAGAAACATTCTCCAGGATACAAGGTCAACACAACACCTGTGTCATTATATTTCCCCACCTAAAATTATTCTGAATGTTATGTAATTTTTGTCTTCATTTATGAGGTTGACATGGGCTATGCATCATAAAGACAATGTTCTCAAGAAAATAAAGACATTCATTGGATTCTAAACAATAACCCACAAAAGGCAACAAAGTAATAAGATCAAGCTCCTTACATTTAGTCCAGAAAATACACACAAAGCAAACAATGAATATCTTGGTATAACCTAACAGCATAACCTACAAACACATCTGTTCCAAACACCCTCTGTGCTCTGATCCACTTCACTGTGCATTTCCTTATATTGATACACTTTTACTAACAGTTGTTTAATCACACCTGCAACATTATAGTTTTGTTGTTTGGATCAACATCTGTATATTCCTTGTCTAGTAACATCAGTGATGGACTAGTGATACTAATTTTAAACAATAAGTAGGCCTACATATATGCAGATTTTGAAGCAGACTGAGGAAAATATATCCCATCATGTGCCCAATTGGCCCAATTGGCACATGATGTGGGCTGTACAATGTCCCGTGACGATGTACTACTAAGAGAATCCACTTTTTTATAGACAATGCACTAATCCTGTTGCATTTAATCACTTTCTATAATGAGCTTCATGTACGATACCATCAAACACGCGTCAGCTGAATCCCTGGGGTCAAATGATGGAAAATGAGGACTGCATGCCCCGCACAGTTGGAAAATCTTCTCTTTGTTACTGCAGAAGTAGCCTATTGCTGCAGCGAGAACCTCCTTGCTGCCTCTTTGATTTACCCGTAGCTCTGCATTTGATACCCATCCTTGTATTTGGAAGCCTTGTTCTGTTTTCCAGTAATTAGAATTTTTAGCCGCCATATCAAACTAAGCAGGCATGTGGGAGGGCAACCAACCAACTCTATGTGAGCTGTGAACCTAGCTTTGACTGAGCAGTGGGTATTTTGTTATCTAATGCTTGCTGGGACTGGAGCGGCATAGAAATGAAAGTGGATGGGAATTTAACTCCTAATCCTTCTTACACACTCCCTCACTTGGGTTGGACTCACCAGTCGAGATGGATGAGCTTAAACCGGCCCAAGGCAGTACATGTACTTGCCATTTGCAGTAGCATTCAAACATGAAGCAGAGGTTTGATATGGATGTTCTTTGTCATCCATTCTTTATCTCTTATGATCAGATGATACCCATTCCCGAATCCAAACAAAAAGTCCTGTCCTTCAAAAGTTACATTACATTTGTTAGGACAAAGGTTAGCTAAAACATGGGCCAAAAAGTTAAAAGGATTGGAATAATGTGTAAGTTTTATTCAGTGTTATTTCAGATAGTTCTCAACTTACATTGGCCACTCCATTTATAACTGAGACAATTGATAAAGTCTGTTATTTTAAATTTTTGTTCTGTTGATCAACATTAGTACATGCTTTACTTCTCTTTAATGTCTGATTTACAGGGTTTCAAATGAGTATGAATATCATGCGAAGTCCATGTGAAAGTTACTGCCCTGTATTGACTGTAAACTTTGTTGAGCTAAAATGAGACTGACCTTTGAAGAGGTAAGTCTCGAGCCAGAGCTTGAGGCCTATGAGCTGGCAGTCACACCTCCAGGGGTTTCCTCTGAGCGTGATACTGTCGATGTGCTCCAGGTTGTCCAGCAGGGAACGCTCCAGTCTGCTGAAGCGGTTATGGGCCAGGCCCAGGTGGCTCACGTTTCTCAGGCCCTCCCCAATGGCACTGGGCAAACTGCCCAAACTAGAAGCAATAGATATAAATTATAATCAGTCATTGAATTCATACATTCTAAGAAGAAATTCACAATATACAGTAATTTACTCTGAAATAAGTGTAGTATACACTCATGGAAATCATGTTTTTCCAGAGAGTGTGCGATTATCAAACATATGCATCAATATAGAGCCAACTGGTCTCCCAATCCAACTCAAATCATAGTGTGAGAACAAGATGTTAAACAAATATTATTGAATATTGATCAGCGTCTTGAATACCTGTTGTGTGATAGGTCCAGGTGTGACAGTGATCGCACAGGACCCAGTAGCCTCTTTTCCAGTTCTCTTAGGTTGTTATTGGACAAAGTTAGTCGCTGCAGGGTCCTCAGACCCAGAAGTGCTGTCTGGGAAATTGTTGATATGGAATTGTTTGACAGATCCAGAATTCTGACGAGGGGAATGTCACGAAACGCCATGGATCCCAGTCCTCGAATATGGTTGTCCTGGAGATACAGTTCTTGTGTGTCTGGGTGGAGGTTCTTGGGAATTTCGTAGAGCCCTCGTCCACGGCAGTCCACTGCTTTGGTATTGCTGTTGCAAGTGCATTGTTTGGGGCAGGCGTGAGAGGGAGTGAGGAGGAGGGGAAGAAGGGTCCATATCACTGCCACTGTAGAGAAAAAATATGTTTTGGTTATCTACTGAAACTGTTACTGGTTTGAAACATATGTCCCACTCAAAAGAAAAACACATTCTATAATAATACGCTCTTCAATGATTATATCTAATCTACACTAAATCTAAACACACGGATGCTCATATTGTGCATTGGTACATATAATTACAACACCTGTCATAATGAGATTGAAAAAAAAAAATTGAAAGGTTGTGCTAAGTACAAGTTAGAATAATGGGCATGCACATGCATCATTTACTGCCATTTTGATTGCTTCCTTTGTTTCTCATTCATATTCTATTAATACCTAATAAAGGCCATTATGCAAACTTCTAGTTCCTCCCACCCTCGTTCAACAGTGGTGACCCGAGAGAGAGACTGGGCCCCCTCACCTACTCTCCACCCACACATAGATCCATATACAGCAGATACCGGTGTCTGATAGACTTTGAGATGTCTATTCCATCTGGAACATTACAGTCATATTTTTAGCATTGCCTGGGCTAGCTTCAGGCTCATTGAACTGCAGCTAAGCCCGAGAATGCAGCCAGCCTCGACGTCCAAGATAGAAATATAATATTATGTTTTTAGCTGACCTTTAAGAACTGCAAACACTTTATTATCAGAAAATTATTTCAGAACATATTGCTTTAAAATGTTTAATGGTAAATTTATATAGTCATGAAAAGGAGTTTTCATGTATAAGGTCATTGTCCAGAAAGGTCAAAATGCTCAGGCGTTTTTTTACGATTAAGGTGCAGTTACTTATGGATTTGATTGTGATACATGTATTTTTGTCTGTTCTTTTATAAGTTTTGGTTTTGGTTTCATTATCCCAGCAACATTTATTTTTCCTCTGTACATTGCGTAAGTTTCTTGTCACATTTCCACCCTCAATCAATTATTCCCTTTTGGAGCTGGTACAAAGAGTGTAGTTGCTTGAAGGCCAAATTAGGCTGTTACTTACCGAAAGATATGATAAAAAGGTGCATGGATAGTATTTTCTGAAGTTACAGGTGTACTTATTGTCATTTATGGTTTATATTTAAAAGATGATATTCATGTTGGGAAGATTTTTTTTTTATTTGTTAGAGGAAAAACCACAGACCATGGTTGACTACAGATAATATGTGCGGCAGTGTAAAGCCGTCTGTTCATCACCATCCTTGTTACCTAATGAGAATACATGTAATCAAGTCTGTCAGCACATATGTGTATTCAAAACCAACATACAAACCATACCTACATAAAACACAACATTAACAGGGCATCAGTGTATTGGAGCGTGGTAACAGCCGCTCCAGAATGAGGTCAACACAAGCGAATAGCTTTTTCACTGTTGTGTCCCTTCAGCACAACACAGTCAAGCTTGTCAAAATGCCCAAATAAATTATGTAAATCCAGATTAATGCCTATACTGTTGAAGGTGTTGCAAAGTGGAACATCTCTGCACATTTAAGTAGTAGACATGTGAGATGTATTAAATGACATATTTAGTGGGGTAAAGCAGTAAATTGTTACTTCATTGTTTCCTACAGTAGTTACACAACAACTCAGCCACACATGTACAACACACACACACACACTATACTTCACATGCCTGGTGACTTACCTCTCATAACTGCCAATCTTAGGACAAGAAGCTTAAGCCCGATGTCGTCTCAACTTCCTTTTGTGAATTTCTGTTGTTCTCGTAAAGTGGCAATCCATTAGGTGTTCAAAAATGTCACCTCTGAAACGCTCTTAGGATCCTCAACCCAGCTCAGGCACCCATGTAGTAACCCCATTGGACTGCCCAGGTCAGAAGGCATGGAGCATGATCCAGCCAAGCCAAGCAGGCAGTCTGAAATGACTGGAGTTAAAGCAGCGCTGGCTCTCTCTCTCTCTCTTCCCCTCTCTCACTCCTCACACTGAGCCTATTATCATTTCTTATTGAAATTCACTACCTTTTGATGTCTACCTTAAAGCTATACATTGTCCCAAGTGTAAAGCATTGGTTTGCGCTTCCGAAGTGACATGCCCCAGTGGACAGCTGAACCCCTAAATCTCTCACACTCACATCCTCGCATAGAAGATCTCCTATTTCTGTTGCAGAGTTAAACAAGACAAATATAGATTGGATAGCAGCTTGTCAACACAAATGGTTAAATGCTTGGACAGGCAATGCAGCAGCAAACACAGTTTTGCCAGCGTGCCATGTTGCTGTGGCATGCAGTGATTATGCACAAGCCATGGGCAAAGGAGGAAGGGGGAGGGGGTGGTAAGGGTGCTCAGCAATACACCACGCACCAATGCACAAAAACACACACACACAAACGTACGGAGGCACTAAGCTGTTGCAGGCAATGTGCGTTAGAGGTTTTTATGAGATGCACTGTCAGTTTTTATGAGCTGACGGGTCACTTGAAGGAAAGGCACCCAAAAGGATGGAGGGAAAGATTACTGATTGAATTATATCAGCGGTGAATATGATCATGTTGTCACACTGACCTTGTTGTGTCCTTCTGATGGAACCTATTATTCTAATGTATATTGTGTAAAGCCCTTTGGTATTAAATTGATTTGTTTTTGTTGCAGTCCTAGAATCTTGGCGGAGCAAGCTTCAGTTTTGAAAAACCGTGTCCTAAAACACTAATCCAGAACAATTACCTTGTTATTTTCGCTTCTCCCTACTGCTATTACTTAATGTATAAAATTATATAATGTCATGTTGCGCAAAAAAACAATCAATCAATTAATGAGCCGTCTCCAGATTACAAAGGGAATATATGAATCTAATATGTTCCTTCTTTGACGCAAATAATGTGACATTAAACATTGATAATTTTCTTTAAAAAAGGAATATATCTCATCGAACTACATTATATTATTAAACATTTTTATTAATATAATTTAAATGCAGACATGTTTGCATGATACAATTTTTTTTGTAATACACAGACAGTAATACTTTTTTCTGCAAACTGCATCAGAACATCTGTGACTGTATTAAAAACACAAGAAAGCAAAAGTGTTTGTCTCAGTGAGAGATTTGTGATTTATTGCTCTTAAAATATGGATTGTCCTCCTCTGACTGCATCCATTGCACACCCACAGTGCATGACTAACTCCCATTGTTTTGTCAATATATCTCTTTAATACTTCAAGGTTATAGACGTGCATACAAAAAGACACATTTTACATTTACCTTCTACTTCAAAGGTCCATCATTGTCAACCATGCTTATTAAAAGAAAGTCATTTAAACACATTCAAATCAATCACAATGAGTTTTTGAACTTTGAAAGGATTTGCTCTGTCTGTTGAGTCACATTTGCTGCAACAATATTCTTCAAGTGTGAATGTAAAGGTCATGTTGAGGACTGCAGGCGGTTCTCAGCCTTCTGCTCCGCTCTCCCTCCAAATGTTGTGCGTTCTCTGACACGGACCAGCCCTGTGTTCTTCAGAGCTGTCCCAGGCTCACTGCACATCAGCACAAATCACAGCATTCCTCTGTGAGGGGTCAGTGCAGCCTCCTGTGGGCTGCTGCTGTCTGAGGAGGATGCTCAGACTGTTTGCCCAGCCCACACTGTTAAGTATAAAGTTTAGTTTGTTTGCATAAGATTCTGCACTAAACCCTCTGTGGCTGTGTAGGTTTATATCTATCGTTGTGAGTCTAATGCTTTGTCCAGAACATTGTTCTGTTAAGAGCAGTTTGGTCTTGATGCTATACTAGATCAAGTGGGTTTAAAACACAGACTTTTAATTGCTGCTTTTGGATTCAGTTTATGACATATATTTCCATGTTCTGGGGAAATTAAATGTTCCCTATAGATCTCTAAATACTAGGGCATTAAAATGAGCTTTAGCCCTTTTGTTTCAATCTCAACTCTCCTGAGCCGCAGCTCCGGACTTATTCTTTATAATCTGCAAAAGCACCATCAAATAACTGACTGTGGACTGCTGGGATATACAAGAAATACATAATTTGGGATACAGATACAGATTTATTACTTGAATGAATAAATCATGCCAGGAATAATTCTGATATTTACATGTAGATATGTCAAGATTATCTTGTTCTATCAATAATTGTGATTTATTGTAATAATACAAGGACTTTTGATTTCAGCCTCTATTTAGTAGAATTTCAAATTATCTGTTGTATTCAATCCAGACTTCCAAAACTCTTTGTTTATCAGGCGTTCATGTCACATAAAGTCAAGCACAAGACACTGACAATGAAACGATGTCATTGAAAACATTGAGAATTATCATATCTAAAATGGCCTCATCAAAAATGTAGAAAAACATTGAACAGAACATGAGAAATACATGGGAGTAATAACAAATAATTAAACTTCTGAACAAACGTTTAGGACCACACCTCCAAATAAATCAATAAACATCCTCAAACAATTAATTTCTGCGTGCCACAGTGGCCTCTTATCGCCAGTAATGTGGGACACCATCAGGATCAAGCATCTTCAAGGTCGTTCCTCATTTCTCTATCCCTTGTTTTTCTGCAAAGTCTGATCCTTTGCAAATTGCTAATGCTCATTTCCGCAGCATTTAAGGAGACGAGGCATTTGAACATGTCTTTTGTTTTTGATCTTGATGGTATTTGGCTGCGGTCGGCACCAGTAATGGCCTTCACGTGGGTCGAGTGTAGTGCAGCATCTTGATGGACTGCCTTTTGGATCCTACAGCTCAGCACTAGTGTCGCTTTTTGGGTCTTCCACTTGACTTTTCTCTGCCATAAGCCTCAGGATCATTTAATACATTCCATAATGAATGCAGTTCAGCAAGCAGACCATGTTCAAAAAGTCTTTTCACCCTGTGCCATCAGAAAATGTGATTGCCGTTTCAGTTTAATTGCCATTTGAAAATGCATTGGTTGCTAAATTGTGTTTTATAGCATAATGCAATTCTACTTGGAAGCTTGTTAAGATTCAGCCATGCAAATGATTTGTTTTGCCATTTTCCAAGTGGTCTTTTTATCATTGTTTATTATATATTGAGCCATCCCTAAAAACCCTGATCAATCGACATTTGTAACATTATCTGCAAAAAGAACACTGTCCCAAAGGCTCCATTGTAGCCACCAGCTCTGACAATAAAAATAGATTTTCATTGCATGCGTTTCCAATGCAGTTGCTCATGCCTCCTTATTTATAATTGTCTGGTTGTTCCATGTGAGTGAGGAGGCGCTGGCTACAGAGAGGAGCTGGCAAATCCTCTGACAGGATAATCTGCACCTGTTTCCCTGGGCTCCGGCTAAAACAGAACCCCACTGCCTTTAACAATAACAAGCACAACAAACCCCTAATTATTTAGTTCCTGCAAGTGCAGAATAAGAAAGCTTGTGTCCATGTTTGCCTTGGTACCAGCCCCTTGTTTTTTGCCTGGGCCTCACAACAGACATTTGATCACAAAATTATTATTATTATGGAAACTAATACATCTAGTATTTGATGTATTGTAATGTACATTTGCTGTAATTGGTTAGAAATAGCCAAAATAAGTAAGTTATAAACCAGCACCTTTCACAAACAAAATACATCACAAAGTGCTTCACAGTGCTTTTTTTTTTAAAGTGTAAAACAAACTATTTGCACATTAAACATATTCTTTTTTCTTTTTCTAGCTGTGGGAATCCAGATGAAATTGGATTTTTTTCAGAAGAAATTTTGGACAGCCAGCAGACAAGTAAGAGTAAACAAATCTACTGGTACTTATAGATGTTGTAACTAAAAATTACTCTGAAAATATATGAATTATTCTCTACAATATCTTAAATATCAAGCATTAAGCGTTCCTTAAATTATCGATGAGGATTGATACAGTAAAAATAAACTGCATCTAAGTTTTTCTGAAGTTAGAATTACCATTTGTCATTTTGAACATACAGTGTGCTGCGTTGGATGGGAAGTGTTCCATCAGCTGTGATGATGAGGTTTGTACAGTGTATACCTACATTTCATCATTCAAATGTTGGGAATTGCTGCTAATGCTTTATGTATTTATTGTTTGCTTTTATCAGAATATCAATTGCTACCTTATTGACAACAATGGCTTCATTTTGGTAGCAGAGGACTACACTTTGGTAAGTCTCACCACAGTGAAATAACTTGTTATCATTCATATGATTTGGCAACACATTGAAAACTACAGATGTACAAAGTGCTTCCATGTCAGCAGCCATCGTGTCACTCCAAATATCAGACCTCTGGCAGTATTTGGCCTTGGTGGTCACATGTTCTTTTCAGCTGTCCTTCACGATTTAAATTTAGACTCATATATCATAGAAACAATGGTAACTATTTGCACATTAAGCTAGAGAATTACAAAATGCAATTATTATTACAAAACATTCTGTGTTTAAATGTTTTTTTGGTTTTATTTCAGACTGGGAAATTCTTTGGTGAGGCCGAAGGAGCAGTCATGAACAAGCTTCTGCTGATGGGCTCTTTTAACAGGTATTTGTTTCTGACATCTCAAGTGTACTGCTGCTGTATGAAAGTCATATTGTGGACTTTATGGACTTTTTTATTTAATTTTTGTTTTCATGTTTGTAATATTTAGCCTTTTTTGTCTCCCATCTGCTCTTCTTGCTCTTTGGATATGTCTCTTCCAGCATCTAGAGACTGTGTTGTATTTATGTTTTTGCAAATCAACTCCATAACATGAAATGGTCAGTTTTCAGGCCATGCTATTCAATTTAATTCAATGTATTCAATGAAAGTAGTTATCTCAGAGAACCAAACCAAGAATCAAAGAATCAGATAATCAAAACGTTCGAAAAACAGAGATCAGAGAACAGGTAGTCATTTTAGTAGAACCTTTAGTCTAATACTTGCTTCTTGATGTATAAAATGGCATTGTGTTTAGGGAAATGTTCCTGATTTGAAAGGTGAACCTCTTTATGGACTCTCTTCCAAGATCGTCCAGTATGTTGCTTCATCAACCTCTTCCCTGTTCCTGCTGAAGAAAAGCAGGTCCACAACATTTGTAATCAGTTTTCAGGGAACTTCAGAAAAATACTTTTGCGAGTCGCTGTGCTCCACGGTGTGTATGTACACTTTGTCTCCTGTGGCGCTGACAGCTCTTGACTTCACTGATCATTTGAAGCTATTCATTACTGATCCTTGACCTCACACTGCAGAGCTCTCCGTTTGGGGATTACAGCAAATCTTTTCCTGAAGCGAAGGAATTAGGACAAAATTTGAAGTTGGACTTACATCTATTCTGATCCATACTCTCCACTGAAGTCAACCGCCTAAAGACATGGGTGGAGACTTTCTGCTTTTGTAACACAATCTGAAGAGAAATCATTCATGGTATTATTTCTGTTATGACGACATTGACCGGTGATGGAGTGCTCTCAGGGTGTATATTACAAGTACTTCATATAAGAATCAGGTGTGACAAATACAAACTGATTTTTCTCTCAAGATCTCACCGTTGACAACAGATAAATGGCTTGCTCAAGGATTTTCTTAAGTGTAAATGTCAGATAATAATTGAATAACTCATGAAAGGGAACATTGGCATGATGAATAATACATTTAAACATTTGACACTAATGAGTGGATCATCAAACTTCTCAAATCAGTGCCACAAAACTCAGATGACACCACAGCCACAAGTCATGGTGTAAGTCATGGTGCAACTCTGGAAAATGTGAAAAGCCGAGTTGAAAGTGACGACCAAGAAATCCACCTTTGACGTCAGCTGCCCTCTGCATACAGCAGGAAATCAGCTCCAGTCGCAATTTATTTTAAGCATAGAGCTCTTTGACAAAATACGACTAAACTCAGCAGTTTATGATAATTACAGCAACATTAAAACCATTTTCAGGATATGTTTTTAATCAGTCAAAAATATTGTATTGTGTAGAAGTTCACAAACATGGTTTAGGCGTGTGTGTGTGTGTGTGTGTGTGTGTGTATGTGTGTTCTTGCATGTGTGTGTGTATGTATTTGTGTGTCTGTATGTATGTGTTCTTACATGTGTTTATGTGTGTGTATGTGTGTGTTTGTGTGTGTGTGTGTGTTCTTGCATGTGTGTGTGCGTCTCTGTGTCTGTTCTAGCATGTGTGCATCTTTGTGTGTGTTCTAGCATGTGTGTGCGTGTGTCTGTTCTCACATGCATGTGCGTCTGTGTGTACAGTATGTGTTCCAGCATGTGTGTGTCTGCATCTGTATGTATGTATTATAGCATGTGTGTGTGTATGTGTGTGTGTGTGTGTGTGTTCTAGAATGTGTCTCTGTGTGTGTGTGTGTGTGTGCGTGCGTCTGTGTGTATGTGTTCTCGCATTCATGTGCGTCTGTGTGTATGTGTTCTAGCATGTGTGTGTGTGTGTGTCTGTGAAAACCTCTCAATAACCTCACTGACGGACAGCCCCAGACTTCACCTCCTCTGGGTCCACTAAGCTTCTAAATCCAAGTAGTGCATTTGTGCATCCTGGTGTTGTAACGATAGCATTGTCAATTGGGATTGACTTTGGGATTGGGTGGGATTGGGATTGTATAAAGCATATTTGAATAAAAAAATGACCTAAAAATGAGCATTGATAGAGTAAAGTATCAGTAAGGATTTATAAATAATTATTTGTGTGGGAGTTGGAGGATGAACTTACTGATATATGTAATAGTTTGGTAGACTAAGACTTTATTGATCCACCAGGGAAATTGTGTTGTTGCAGTAGCTTGCATAGTATTTCACAAAAATAAAAATAAAAAATACATTAAAGTTACAATCTGAAAATAAGAATAAGAATAATATATTATTTGTGAGAATAGAATAATCTGGATGTAGGTGCTCAGGAATGTACATATCTGTGAATATGTACACATTTACAGTATAACGGCAGATCTTGTTGTTATTTTTGGACTAATCCTGTAAATAGTTATTGCAGATGTAAAGTTTATATCCAGGGTTTTTTAACCATAAATACTACATTTTGTTTTCCCAACAGAGAGAGTCTTGTAAAAGTAAAATGTTGTTCAGACCACAACATTATCTCTTCATTTCATTAAATCATACTTGTGAATCACTATTTGACGCTTTGGGCTGAGAGCTGATTGGCTGAGTGAGTCCTCTCTTTTTTTACACTGTCGGTCTAAATTTTACATAAGCTTTTTTATAACCCATACATAAATGCACGTGAAAGCAAGTGCTAGGAACAAACTGTTTTGAGAGCTAGGCTAATTACATGGATTGGCCTTTTTTTTTGCATGGCTTGAAAGTCAGGTACCCGAGCTTTAATGTATTTAGTATGTGCCATAACAGTGTCTGATTTCCCCCTCTAGCTCACAGGATGGGGCGGTCCATGCAGGTCCCGTGTGACACAGAGTACCCGGCCTTCATCTCCGAGAGGACCATCAAAGAGAACACGGGCCACACCGACTGCGACGGCTGCATCAAGTACGAACACTCGATATAATCTTTAGACGATGAGCCTTTATCTGCTAGCAACCACCGCACACGATAACAACGCATCCATTATACTGTTAAGTGGAGACATTTTCATCTACATAATGAGCAACACATTCAAATCAAGGGTTGTGCGTTCACAAAGCTTTTATCCGGGTCATCCATCAGAGACACACTCGGCCTCTCCTCGGGCGTTTGAAACACAAGGCAACACAAGGAGTGCTGGGAAAAAACTGCTTCTTTTAAAAAAAATAAAAAAAAGGCAAAATGAGTGTGGTCCCCATTAACAATTGGGGCTTTTCTGTCAGCCAATTGTGGGGTGTTCTTCGGATCCCTCCACTGGGCTTCATTGCTCCCAGCTGTGGATCTGTCCCATGTGTGCTCTTTCCACGTACTTCTCACTATGCTGCGTTTAGTTTGGGTACATTTTAAAGGGAGGAAAAGGACTTAAAAATACTTGTATGGCCCCAGTTTAACAATTAGCTGATTTCATCCCCATCATAGTTCAATTTACGCTTCTATTTTAATGGGGTAAAAAGTAAACATGAAACAAAAATCCCTTCAGTACATTACACAAACCAAGACCCTTTACATTTACTGAAGTTATGACAGACACTGAGCCGGAGCCTCACCACGTCTACCTGTCACTACTGTATTTCCTCAGTTATGCATTCTTTTGTGATTTTTGGACAGATTCACAGATAGATACTGTATGTAACACTCTTAAAGATCTAAATCTAAGCTGTAGTAATTTAATACACTTGAAAATGAGTAAAGTAAATAAATAAGAAAACTTGCTAAGAAGTACAGATGATGGGTGAGAAACCTTCCTTTGCTTTGAGTAATCCCTGTATTACTGAGAGCTCACACAAACCTAGGTAAATAAGAATACAACGTTTTAGTTTTTGGGTGCACTGTACATTCACATTCAGCCAACACGTATGACACTAAAGGTGACGTTAGCAAACTTTATTTTCTTTCTTAACTGTTTTTGTGGAACTTAAATAGGGCTTTTGTTTTTAAATTGTTACCCTCTTACAATATTAGTTATTGAAAAAATTGGTGATAGACATGTGTTTCAGGTTATGCACTGGCTGAGGCTTGCTTCTTACTTTGGGGCACGTGTGAGTGCTTTACATTGGTGGAAATTGACCCTAAGCTATGGCCCACTAAAGCCCTCTTTACTCTCTGCATGTGTGTCTGGGGATGTGAGTCTAATACTTCCCAAAAGAAAATATATATTCTTCTACTTTACATGAATGTATTTTTTTATGCAAACTATATTTTAGAAAAGTTCTATATAATAATAAAACATTTATATATATTTTTTTCATCTGAGAGATTTAGAGAAGTGCCATGTTTCAGTCCTTGGACTGTCATCGTGAGGGTTATTATGGACAATGCTGGAAGCCGTATATCCTGTCCAACTATGGTCTCTATTCCATACGAGCTGTATGATAGAAAGTCAAAGCCATATGTATATATGCCCTCATTTTAGGCTTTGAAAATGGTTTGATTGCGATCATATGCATAGACTATAGATGTGAGTACATTTATTAGACAAACAGAAAAAAAAAACTACTAATTTACTAAATTAAAACTGTCTAATCTAATCTAGTCAAGTTTGTCGGCCTGAAGGCGCCGTTAAAGTAGCAAAGACTCTGTTTGTGGGAAGTTGAAATGAAACCTTTAGCAGCCCTGCATAATGTGTTAAATGATTAAAAATACATGTGAAGTCATTTTGTCTTATGCTGCAAAAGCAATAAGAGAGATGGAAAACCATCCGTGTGTTTATTGAACTTTCAAGTAATTTAAGTCATTGAACTAGTATTTGTACAATTATATTGCGTAGTTGTTGGTCATATTTTCTAAACTGTGAAGACAGATGTTTCTAAGAGCCATACCATAGGTCTGGCTCAATTATGGCATTATTACATGACTGGAAATAAAATTACCTCCAAAAAGTGTGAAGATCCAATGGTTTTAAGACCGTAATTGCGGATGGATGGAGTATGTTTCTATTATTTGCTAAATAAACAAAATCTATACCTTTATAACTTTTTAATAGGTTTGCATCTTATTTCCTAGAATGCACTATTGCTTTAAGCAATAATTCACTCTAACTTGCTTCTTACTTTCCAGATATTTTATTTCGCAAACGTCTTAATGCGACTCTTGGTAGATTCATCCATACCTTCATAGATACAAACGTTTAATGTCATTTAGTTGCCTCAGGTACACTCCTCTTGGGTTCCTAAACTGGGAATGAGGCAATAGTCCCAGACGTATACAGAGTACAGAGTGCAGCTCCAGCTGTCCTGTCACAGACGCTCTGTTTTGTGTCGGCTGGTGGAGCGTGGCTGGCTTTAGCCGGGATTATTAAATATTGGCATATCTCAGTTCACCCAGATCGGAACTGGCCTGGTCTATTTGTAGGTCTGGATGTGCCTGGTTCTGGTCATGGTGGAATCACCACATTAGAGTGTGGTGGTGTGCCCGAGCTCTTCAAGGACTTAACGTAGCCACAGGAAATTAGTTATGGTACTAAGCTGGCGTAGTGGAAATAATATTTAAGAGGTGTTGGGGTTTAGCATTTCCATTTCCATTTTACAGGAATATTACTTAACCATTTAAACGACTAGTGACTAAAAAGATTATAGGATTGAAACCATATGACTACATGTCAGATTAATGTGAGTTAAATTTGTAAATGTGCAAACAAGTATATTTACCACTTGCAATGATAATAATGATAATGATACTCTCTGCTCTTTCTTTCTTTTGCTCAGGTCGTTTGTGATCCAGCAGATCCCCAGCAGTAACCTCTTCATGGTGGTGGTGGACAACAAGTGTGACTGCAGCATGTATGAGCCCATCACCATGGACCCCATCGAGATCATGTATATCCTTTATTTAGTGCATTACATGTATTTATGTAATTATGTAATTATGTAAGTAAGCACATACTAATACCAATAAAAAGAACATGTGTGCTTTTAGATAGTGAATAGACATTTTAAAATCCACCTACAGCCAGTTAGTTAAATTGATTGTAGGTGGATTTGCGGGTATATGGTCCATTGCTGGTTTGTCTCCAGTTGGACAATAAGCCCATCTTTTATTGATTCAATTACAGGTGTATTTATTGCTAAAAGGTACATTGTAAATGTCAATAATGAGTTCAAGTCAGGATTCAACTGTTTCCCCACAACATTTTCTTTGAGATGTATATTGGAATCTGTCTGAAATCAAACGTTTGACTCTGAAAGTCTGAAAGTAGCATCATGTTTGCACATTAAATGCATCAGTGAGTCCAGTATCGTAGAGAAGTCCATAGTTGTGATTCCCACTCACCCCACACACTTCATGTAGACGCCGTAATGACGCCAATGATAACATAATGATGTGATTATGTTAAAAAAGTGATGTTCCTTTGATTCCCAGTGCAGCAATAATGGACTGTGCATGTGTTCTTCTCCCCAGTGACAGAGATGGGAAGGCTTTACATTGTTCTAATTTATGTTGAAGTTTGGGGGAGTTTTCTTGCCCTCTGTCGCAGTGATGGATGAGAGGCTTGTGGGGAGCCCTCACAGTGCCCTGTCCATCATCTTACACAACAGACCAATGCTCTGACAGCAGACTGATCACTTACAGACAGGGACTCTACCACTATGTGAAGGCACTAAACTGTAACAGGGCAGGCTCCATGTGTGCCGAGACTACGCAACCTATTCTAATCCTTCTTTTTTTACTTCTATTTTTGTTGATTTGATGATAGACTTTAGAGAAAGAAATATTATTTTCCATTTGCTTAAAGGAGCAGTATGCAAAAATCTGGCCAAAAGTGGTACTGCACTCTCCCTAACTCAGGTTGCCAGATATGCAGATGAATCTGAAGCTGGGACCATATTATCTGAATAAAGAGTTTTGAAACAGGAAATCTATAACCAACACTTTTTTCACAAAGATAGAGATCATGGTTTTATTCCTTGTTTTGAAACTAGAAAAACAAAAACGCACACCAAGTTCTTCTCATGAGGTGCATGTGCTGGAGCAGAAATTAAATGTATTGGAAAATACACAGCACACTCGGATAGATGTCCAAAAGATCTAGTATTTATTACGTTTCGAAACGTAATAAATACTAGACTATACTAGACTTTTGGACATCTATCCGAGTATGCTGTGTATTTTCCAATACATTTATTCCTTGTTTTGCCATTCATGATTTGAGAATCATAATGAGACCTTTTTTAGTTCTTTACCAGTGAGATTTGCTTGATGCTGTGTGTTCTGGCAACCCGGATCACAGACTTTGTGATTGGTAAAACGTTGAAGGGCTGGTCATCGAAATGAAAACAATAACAAGAATAAGGGCTGTAAAACTAATTTTGAAATCCAAATATCTCGGCTGAACTACTGTTATCTGTATTCAAAAAGAGCATGGTTTATTAATGCCTTTTGACAGATTAGGGCCATTTAATGATGACCTGACATGACAATCTTACATTTTGCTACAGTTATGTTAATAATGTTTTTTTTAAATTATCTATTCAATTAAATTCTTTTCATTTTTGTATTTCCCTAAATCAAAACAGCCGTCACCTCGAAAGACATTACAAAGTTGTCAACAACAGATCAGAGAATCAAACAGTTCGAACACAGGAAAGGCATTAATAACAATTCTCTTCTGCTGTTGTGTTGCTATGACAAACTTGCATACATACTGATTCATGGCCTTAACTTCAAGTGCACATAATGAATCCCTCAAATGCGAGCGTCTGAAGATGCAGAAGGATAGGAGGCGTCCAGACCCCTGCCACCCTTTCCACCCGGAGGTAAAAAAAAACGACACATATTACATCCACCCTGTATCTGGGGATTCACCTTTGATGTTTTGCCTTTAGGAGAATTCTATGGAGTGTGGAGGAGCCTCAGGCCTTGCACCATCTCTGTCTGCTATATTCCTGTGCGTCCTTCTCACAGTCAGTCCCAGGTGACCCTTTCCATGTAAGGATCTGCTTGGTTGGGCATGCAAAAAACAATTCTACATGAAAACTACACTGCTTTCATTCAAAAAAATATGACCAATGAGAAAGATACCCTGCTGCCCCCTTAAGCCCTGATGTATCCCCCAGACTGGCAGCACAAAAAAGCAATATATAAGCCACAAAGGGATATATAAAGTACTGGACATAGTGAAATGCCAATAACAAACATAGTAGCTTACAGCATTACAGTTAATGCTATGTTCAGGTCTTTCCGGGTTTACGGTGCGTAGCTGGAGTTGGAGCCACACTATCCCTCATATAAAGTAAAATAAATAAAAATAAAAATAACATATAACAAATAAAAACAATGATGAAAGAATTGTAAAAGACTGTAAAAATGTCTGTACAATGTTTGTTTTTTTATTGTAAGAAAATTCATCATACCATGTACAGTACTGTGCAAAAATAAAAAAGTTTGTCAGAAGATCAATCTAAGACTAATGTCATCGCTTTGGTTATTTCCTGACGAGCTCCTTAAAGCACTCGTTATGATTATTCCTCCCCCCACACCGTTCTTTGATTATCTTAACAATGAAAAGACTTTTGCGCAGCACTGTACAATCATTTTGAAATTGTAAAAAAAAATATATATATTTATAATTTCAAGTGTTAACCATAAACTGTGACTCTGAGATTCTTGTGAGTGGTTGTGGATATGTGAGCTTTGCCTTATTGAATGACATGGTCCTGTTTGTGTACTTTTGAAATAAAAACCTATGTTAAAATTGTATAACGAGTTGTGGTGAAAACACTCTGTTCAAAGCCTCAGATGTGATCCCCATAGATTGCTCTATTGTTGTTGGCAGATTTGGGTGATTATTTCTGTGGTTTAGCAGAGATTCGGTTCTTTTTTTTGTCAGAATAGTGTTTGTGTGTGGCGTGTTTGCCTCAAAGGCCTATTCCTTTCTCTCAAAGCCTGACTGAAGTACCAGGGCACATTGATCCAAGGCTTACCAGAACATACATCTGTATTTGTTTAGGAGCATGTACAAACAGCCTTTCAACATTTATGACATGAGCGTGTGGGTCCCATGCTATAGAACAACAACCTTTACTACCACGCTGCTCGAGAATCTTTTTGGGAGAATACTGCAAGGATGGCACAAAACTACATTTGGGACCTCATGAACGATACGTTATTTGTCACTTTGAAGCTTTGAGGCAAAAAGAAAAAAAATCCAGAGCACCAGACCAAGAGCTGCATTATTTGTTTGAGAGTTTGTTGAGAGTTTGCAGTGACCCAGTGGCTGTATGAGTGGTCAGCATGGCCCCTTTGGGTTCTCTGCTGATGAACCCTCTCAGCAGAAAACCTACACAAAATGTATCCTGATCTGGAGTAAAGAACCCATGCTGCCCACTGATACAGCCACTGGGTCACTACAAGTCAAATACGCAAAACTAAAAACAAATGTCCACATAAAAGGTTGCATAAAACACCTTTAAGTTCGCAAATGCAAGGACTCTTTGGTCTATCCTAATATATGGTCTATTTACTAATGTGGGCCGAGAACACACTACAGCTGACTTGCTCCTGATGTTTCCTCTCTATCACTAGTTTTACAGTTCTAAGATCATTTGGTGTCTGTTCGCAGTTTCAGTTTACAAAGCATCTTTATCACCGCTGATGAATCACTGCACAAGTTTCAAAGGTATAGTCATCTGGACAAGGCTTTCAGCGTTGACACACACGACTCCCATCGTCTCTCTGCTAAAAACCGTGTCCAGATGACTAAGCTTTGAGAGATTTATATTTATTTGATTTACATCACAAGGAGGATATTGCTGTTTTTGTCATAGACGCTTGTGTTGTGTTTTGGATTTGCGGTTTCTGTTTGCCATCCAACGTATTGGAAAGTCTATCCTTGTTGTGTACAAAACATTCTTATCAGTTTGGAAATTTGAGTGTGGAAAAATCCTCTTTTGGCTTTCAACACATGCAAGATATGCAAATGGAGACAGAATTAGTCACAAGAGAAGCTTTGACTTCAAAACAGAGTCATTAGTGATCTCCATTTTCCTAAACAAGTTGAATATGACCATCTATCAAAGTATAAAACCTGAGGCCAAAAAACAGCCTCGAACCATCTGCATTCCTTCCTATTGATGGTGTGTTTTTGGTGTAAGCTGGGCCTGTCAGAGAAGTCACTCATCACTGACACACAAAGGCCTGGAGGGGCCCTGCAGCTCAAAACACAGGCATCCATCAGCACTCGCACTAAGGAAGGCTTATTTGGTCACCATTATCTAGACTACACGAGAAATCTCTTTCACTCACACACATGCACTTTCACACCTTTGAACATATGAGCCTGTCCTGTCCATCCATCTTCCTGCTCTTCTCCAGGGGCCTCGCACTAACGGAGGCGACGTGGAGCTGACTCGAACAGGTAGCAGTTTTAACCTGATGGTGACACATGTTGCGACGGGCATACATTCAAGTTTATATGTAGATTAGAGTTGTTTTGTCATTTTCTGTAATTATATTTGTTTTGTAAAGAGTCAAACCCTAACCTAAACCTCACTTTAAAATCAGCCTAAATGCCAAAAGAGGTATAGTTTGTCACTGTGTGTATAGAGCAACAATATCAACAAAAAGTCGATATTTATTGGAATTGATAGTGAATGGAGCATATTCTTAAAATTAGCCAGCATGCTAGCATTGTTTTCTCATTCCCAGTTAGAAGAAGATATGCTAAGCCTGTTCCTTTTGGATTATTTTTTTTAAGTCATTCAAAAATGTATTTATATATATTTCTTTATTTAAGACTGTTTTAACTTATTTAGTTTTTTGCAGTGAAGACTTCCAAGACTATTGCTGGCAACAGAAATAATATATTATTGTCAGTGCAAGAGGGAATGCCTCTCCCTAGAACTGATCTGCACCTTTACTTCTGAACCCATCGTCAGAACAGTTACATAGAGCTAAGAGAGAGAGAGAGAGAGAGAGAGAGAGAAAGCTTGCATCTACACTTTTGGTGTTACCTCCAATGGAACAGATCCCATTAGTGGTTTTCTTTGAAGACCTTAGATATACATTTGAATGGAAATGATACAACAGCTGAATCAAATCCAGACCACACACATTCACGCACACACATGCACACACACATGCACATGCATGCACACACACACAGGCCGAGAGACCACAATAAGACAAAATGGGAAACTCCAATTCTTCTGCACTTGGCATTGAAAGTCCTGTGCACATTTGGTGTAAGTCTACTGTAATGAATCCCTAATGTCAGTGAAACAGGCCATTGCTTCTACTCATGAGTGTCATTTTGTTTTGACTGGGCATCTGTAGAACCACATTGCTTAAAGCCTGTCCTTATTTACCTCTTCCTCTAAAGCTTCAGTCACTGGCCGCACGCTCACTGGCCACAGCTCTGAGAATGAGCAGATGCCTTGACTAGCTCACCCACACATAACATGCACACATTGGAGATGGAGGACGGACCAAAACCCCAAAGACAAATTTGTTCCTGTGGATGCCAGAGCGCAGAAGCCAGGGCTGAGTAGTGCCGCTGAAAATATCCTCTGGAGCTCTCAGAGCGTGACCCCTGCTGCGATGGAAAGAAAAGCCCTCAGTTCATGTAGACCTCTTGGTGAGTTTGAGAACCTGGCGCGTAATGTGAGATGAAAATATTGTGTATAATGTTTGTATGTCTTTATATTAGTTCATCCTGTAAACATGCGTGTGTGACACATACATACACACAAATACATATCCTGTGGGATGCTCAGAGTATTTGAAACTCAGTGCCTTGAAAAAGGGTTTGTTACATTGTTACAACCACAAACATAAAGATCATTTGATTGGATTTTTTGTGTGAAAGATCAGCACAACTCAGTGACAGACAATAGTGACAGTTGCTCTGTAGTGGCCTCAGAGGTTTGTTAAGAGAACAACATTCTCTTTGGTCACTGAACACTTCTGTTTCGTGATCTCTGAGACTGAGGCCATGTAAACAGCATCCTGAAGTCCAAGGGTGTGTCCCCTGGCCTTCATGACAGGTCAGGGATAACGTTGGGGGGAAGTTTATAGGATGGTTGGGTTATACAAATATTTCCCAAGCTTTGAATGTCTCCCAGAGAACTACTCAATCCATCATCTGGGAATGGAGACAGTATTTATGACACAACTGAAGACCTACCAAGACACAATATCTCAATGTTTGTAGTCGTAACAAGACAACATGTGGAAAAGCTCACGGAGTATAAATTATTTGTCACGGCACTGTACTGATGATAAAACCTTGATTATCATGAATGTCAAAAGAAATCCGAAAACAGAAGATGGCACAGTCAAACATCAGAATGTATGCATGTGGTTGATACTGTCAGCATATTCCAACTTGAAGTGACTTTTCTGGAGCATTGTTTGCTACTGGCTCTGTTTTCTTTGTCTGAAATCTTCTCCTCTATGAACAGATGACATTAAGGCCGAATTCCCTAACCCTTCTCCACACTGAATGCTACTTTTCTACAAACATCGGTCATTGAATAATTACAATTCAAATTCAATTGAATGCAGTCGTGCAGAAAACCATTAACATGTCTCCCTCTATTGGATTATAAGAGTGACTTACTGCTCTTTAATAGATTGAGTGGGAGCGGCTGTTGGACAGGACTTTGTAGGTGGTCTGAAGTTATCATGGCTTTGGCCCTGCTCCTCATCTCATCCCCCTCTGATCACTATTCATCAGTATCAGCGTGTTAGTTTTGGAATCATCAGTCCCTCAGGTTCTATCAGCTGTCTGCTGCAGGCACAGATGTCTGTGTTCCCACTGCACTGATGAAAGCTCATGTGATCACGACTGCTGTGATGTTTGCTCTGTGGCATCTCTGGGCACAGCCTGCTTCCATGAATGGGTCCCTGGACACTCATGATTCACTCCAACCGGATGCAGTAGGTTGATTTCAGGGATGCTCAGTGCAATACGGTTCTCTACTTTATATGCATGTGTACAACATGCAGTAAACTACAGTTACTCCTTAATTGTTTCTTTCCCTTACTAAATGTCTATGTTTTATTTTAAAAGATTGTTTCCTAGCATAGGCTCAATATCTTAGTTTAACTACAGAGTAGGCCCTTAAAACTCCACATGCCCATGAACATGCAACATTAAACATGGCATACTGTACAACAATACAGTGTCTGAGGTTTACATTTATAGCTAGAGCGGGTCGTTTTAATAAGTACACAATCCTCTGAGTGCTTCACCAGAATGACCGATGTACATATGTCTGTGCACGTGTTTGACCACTGGACCGGCCGCATGTTCTGGCCTGACTGCAATGTCCGTCTTTTGCAAAGCACAGCAATGAGAGGAAGTGTACGGTTACAACCACAGCCCTGACTTCAACATCACTACTGCAGAATGACTTTTATATGTACCCCAATGTGCTCCAGGCACCCTGTACTCACCCCTGTCCCATCCATCACTGCCCTGTGACCGACGGACTGTCCAAAGTTCGCTCTGACAAGAACCACAGAGCTAGACGCCCTCCTCTCTCTGACCACATTCACACCACTCTCTTCACTGCACGGCGACTGGAGACTTGATTTTAGTTTGTGTGTGGTTTTGCTGTTCTTAGTTCGAATGTCTGGAGCAATCTGCGGACATGACATCATCCTATTTGTGGTGTGGGGTCAGGCGGCGTCAATTGCTTAGCCTTTTTTTCTCCCTCATTTCTTTTTCTTTCTTTCTTTTTTGACCCTGTCATAGGCCACCCCAATGCCTTACAGATTTATATATGAAAAAGCGAGGAGTCTCTATTGCTATAAGTTGTGAGCATACAGGTGCTCTCCAGGATGGGGCTGAATACAATGAAACATTAACTTCTGACACAAAGACAAAAAAGGGGTCTAAAGCACACAGTGTAGGAAACATGTTCAGTTAATAAAGGACTTTATGTTTCACTGGAGTCGGCCTCAGATCCCTAGTTCTGACTTTGAGTCATAACATTATGTTTCATTGTCTTGTGTTCTCTTCCACAATAACGCAACATTACTCAGAAACCCTGAACCTGAAGTAGGTTCTACCTCAACATTCATCATTCACCTGTGCTGCCATAGGACAAGGCAAGAACAACAATATTTTGTTTACATTTAGAGTAATTACTGTCCCAAAATATTACTAATCAACACAACTTATCATTGTGAGTTCCACTAGCCTGGCCTTAGCCATCCGTACACTCCGCTTAGTTCCCTGCTTGTACGAAATCTAATTTGTACTATGGTGTTTTACAAACCAGGCTAGAGTTCAAGTTACTCTCTTTTACACTAAAGCTGCAACACTAGGATTTGCTGCAGTTCTTGTTTTTGTAACATTTGCATGTTTTTATTTTATTTTTATCATTGGGCAATTGTGCCATTTAAACTAAAGTGTAATTGATTTACTTTTAGAGTAACATATATAATTTTTTTCTGTAATAATGAGTTACTCTATAATTCTTTTTCTAAATTTAAAAACAGCATGCATTTTCCTCCCATTCATTTCAATATCAGGCTTATGAACATGAATAATTTATTGAAATTTACAGTACATAATATACAACCATACAAAAGTACAAGGGCACCCATTTTAGGGATTATTTTGTTGAGTCCAATTCAACTTCTATGGTTGCATTGATCAATCGTTATCATACATTGTTACTTTTGTATCTAGTTACTCCCAACACTGAAACTGGCCTGTCATTAAATAAATATTTTATGAATGTAAGAAAATTTTCCTTATCTGCTGAAATAGTTTCTGTTCCTGGCGTTTGCTCATGGAAGTATTGGAAAGTGTAAATCACTTTTAAAGAGCCCCACGAGCTCCTGTGGACACAAATGAAATCTGAATACGTGTAATGTTTTCATAACACAAACTGTGCTACATGATAAAACTCACCCACAAGTTTATTTTTCTGAGTGTTTAATGACCACCCACTTCCTTAATTAAATCTGCCGCTCCACATTGGAAAGGTAAACACTTGTGCAGCTTATTAAAAAGAGTGGGCACCTTCTGGCAAATGGTCCCTCCTTATATCTGTTGTCTTTCTCCAGGCACTTTTTCCAATCCATAATTTACCTCCATCGTTTATTTCATCCTGGAAAAAGGCATTGGGGGCCAAAACATAAGCATACATGTGCTGTATAATATGTCCATCACTCTCACGGAGGAACAAAGAAATATCAGTGTTAGCCCAGTGCTTTAATATGGTTTTTTGTCACAATTAGAAGAATCAATCCATTGATGACAAAATAGAGTTTCACATTGTTCAGCAGGTTTTAAACTAAGAACAAGGTTCAGCAGATATTACACAAAACAAAGGAAGTAAACACATACTCTACTTTCTCTCTACTCCCTACTCCCTACTAAACTCCCTTATTTTCCAAGTTAATTGTAACAAATCAGGTGGAGACATTGGTGACGATCACGATCAGTTTCATTTGATTTCAACAATCAACGTGGACGCTGAAAGAAATGCACCGTTATATTCTGGAAAGCTTTGTGGGTTTAGAACAGAAAACCATAATCCCCACTCCTCGTGATGAGCATTTGTTTCATCGTGGTACGGACACACTGCTTTCTGAAATTCATTTTACCTCTGACATTGTAGTTGACATCTTTTCCACTAAACATTTGTTGGATGTTATTGGGAAGCATGTTGTATCTCACTATATTATACATTATTTGAAGCAATTTCAATTTGATTAAGTCTTCAAGTTTTAAGGTTTTAGATTTCTCTGGACCCAGCGTTAAGAACAACACCTATAGTTCTCTTCTGTAGTACAACGAGGCTTTGCAAATTGGTTTCAGAAGGTACCAAGATATTCCCATCACAGAGATGGATTTGGCTATCTCGTTTTTGACAAAGGATATTAAGGTTTCCAGGACATCTTTTGACGTGTTCAATCTCTACACCATCCCAGTTGATTTTTTCCTCAGAATGTATTTTATTTCCAAATATAATTTTTGTTTTTTTGAGGCTTAGTGATAATTTTTTTTCATTAAACCAGTTTTTTAGTTTACCAATTTCAGTTTCTACCTCGATCAAAAACTGCTGCAGGTTCTTACCACTACAAAGGATGGTAGTATCATCAGCAAATAAAAGCTGTTTGAGTTTTTCAGAAACATTACACTAATCATTGATGTACATCAAGAACAGCAAAGGCCCCAGCACTGACCCCTGGGGGACACCACATGTAATGCTTTTTCATGGGAATAACACCGGGATTCCAGATCAGCTTTTGAGTAAGTCCACTTTCATGGTAATTCTAGTTCTGGAAGCAGTCTTCAGTGAAATGTCGCTTAAAGAAAACAGATTTTTTGCGATTTCAGAGGAAGGTCCCTGTGAATATAAAGTCCACATTCGCCTCCTTTTACTTCTTCCTGCCAAATAGTGGTGTCACATATTTACACCCAAAAACACATGTTCTCCAAGTTGACATGATGCTAACACTTTTTGTCTGTGACAATAGCAGAGACAGCAGAACAGCAGAGCTCGATGTGAAGCGAATACAGACTGTGGTGGTTGCGGGACCCAGGAGAGGTTGCATGCGCTGATTCGCTGTTTTGGTTTTTACCCTTGTCAATCACCTCCGGGAGGCGGGCTTCTCCTGCTTATGCCTAGCCAAGTGTTGCTGCGTCATCAATTTTGACAGAGGCATTTAAGGATAAATATAGGTTTTATGATATTTAAAGCATAGAAAAGTCAAAAGACCTAATATGGGACCTTTAAAGTAAAATTCTATTTGACTTTAAGTTTAGGGCCAATGTAAAGTATAACCACCACCAGCCCACCTTGTACCAAGCTACAGTCAGCATTTCCATGGCACAGAACCCCCACTAACATCATAACTTTCTGAGTCCTTCCCTTCTAGAAGCTAAAGTGCAATGAAATATTAGCCCAGTGTTACAGACATGGATAAGACCCAAAAAATGCTTTGGACGCCCAGACACTCCTTCTGCTGCTTCAGATTCAGAAAGAAAAACACAGGCATGAGACAGGGAGGTATTTGTGCAGGTACGTCTGAGGGCCCAGCCTGCACTGGAGCAGCGATGGGTGACTGGTTTTACTGGTCTGAACACAGCTCTCCTCGGAGCAGCACAAGAGCCAGAGTGGAAACTGTTCTCATTAGCACTGTTCAATTAAAACAGAGGTGTAGTCAGTGTACTGCCTCACCTGGCGCCATTTGGCTTTTTTGACGTCACCTTTTTGTTAATCAGTTTTTTAAAGTTGAAAATTAAATAACAAAAGTGAAATGAATATTCAAACTGTTGTAGTAATAATAATTATATGTGCAACTTCATGCCAAACTGAAAGCTTTAGGTTCAGCAAATCCAAAACACCACATAATCTAAACATTCTTATGTTCCGTAGCAATACCTGGTTAATTTCAATCTTTATTCCAAAAAACACATTTTAGTTATGGTCCAAGTTTCTTCCTATGTATGTGCTTTGGTCAGCTGCCATGGTGTGTGGTTTCTAAGCCACATGGTACAAGGAAGTGCCACAGAGGGGATAGCTTAATCTAATCACTCCTTGTTAAGTACGCCCCAGGTCTGAGAGCACATGGCAACGTGAAGTTAGATCACAGCCATTGTTGGTCTTTGCTTGTTTTTGTAGGATCCTTACAATTGGGGAAACAAGACAAAATCACTCAATAAATGCATTGTGCAGCTTTTTCTTCTAGATCTTGAAACACTAGACCAGGAACAAGACATTCCTCTGCTGTAAATACCATGGAACTATTATAATAACGGTAAAAGCACACACCCAGGTCTAAATGAAATCGCTCACTTTTAATTTTAAACGATCAACTTAGAGGACACAATGTTCTCATGTCTCAATAAGCCTCACACCATCAGGTCCCACATGAAGGTGCTATGGTTATTGTGGTAACGTGTCAGTGGTTGTGCTACGGGTGGATAAGGCAGAGGTATATCTGTGACACCCTTATAGCACCTGGAATGAATGTTTGGAAAATACCTCTACTGCTGCTTTTAGTGTTTGTGTACATGTGGTGGTAAAGAGGAAGTCTTATATCTCTTTCACGTCTCAAACAAAAACAGTTGAGACCCAGAGTTCAAGAGGAACCCTGATATATGTGTGACAGAGAAGTACAGAAGGAGTGTATAGAATGAACCACGCTCCACATTTTTCCATTCTTCACTCTTTGGCTGCTCAAAGCTTCCAGGTATTTTTAGAGCTTTAGATATTATTGAACTTAGTGTCATTATTGAGTAAATGTTAATCCAAGTGGAGTGATATGGAGGCTGCTACAGAAAGTGTTTAAATGATGAAACACATTGTGCATACATTGAATTCCTTCAGTGTTCTTCTTTTTGTAAGATCAGGATTTACATTTTTGTTCTGAATTGAGTAACATCTCGATGCTAAGTTTGAATAACTTTTGAAAGCAGAATTTTCGATGATATCTAAAAAAAATCTTTTAGGCACCGTAACGTGTGTTCTGATGTATTTGAGCAAACATGCATTGATGAATGTGTCTACAGTATTATTAGACCTTGGGGTTATGTTTGTCAAATCCCAGTCCAGTTCTCAGGCCGATCA